CAGGATGAAACTTTGCTGCAGACTTGCCGCATACTAGTATGCCACAGGAACAGTCTGCGGCAGATCTGCGGCAGGATGAAACTTTGCTCCAGACTTGCCGCATACTAGTATGCCACAGGAACAGTCTGCGGCAGATCTGCGGCAGGATGAAATTTTGCTGCAGACTTGCCGCATACTAGTATGCCACAGGAACAGTCTGCGGCAGATCTGCGGCAGGATGAAACTTTGCTCCAGACTTGCCGCATACTAGTATGCCACAGGAACAGTCTGCGGCAGATCTGCGGCAGGATGAAACTTAGCTCCAGACTTGCCGCATACCAGTACGCCACAGGAACAGTCTGCAGCAGGTCTGCCACAGGAAATCCCATTAAAGTCTAATAGGGCCAATTGAAACCAATCATCTCATGCATATTCATTATTACTTTACACGTGTGACAGAAAAATACATTTATCATGATTTGTTAAGCAAATTAAGACAATGCACATCATTTTTGTGATTTCTATTTTTCTTTTGCCATTATTAACCAATAGATTATTTTGTCTGATCATGTTACAATTACATTCACGTTTAAGCAATAGATATATTGATTACTAACCAAGAAACTATGATTACTAACCAAGAAACAATATACATATTTAGTATATATATATGTGTACAAGCCTGTGTCACTTTAAATGTTACTCTTGAATACACTTCAAATGATCAATGTGATGAAGTTAATACAATTGAGAATAGAATATACCTAATTGGTAATATATATATATTGGTATTACCTAATTGGTAATTTCGATATTGCCAATATCGATTATGAAGTATCAATCAGTTTATCACTGGTTCTTCTACATGCATACTCTATTGCCACGTACTGGATATGAAAGAGTATGCGGCAGGTCTGCAGCAGGTCTATATGAGATATGAATATTCATGACGAAGAGTCTGCGGCAGGTCTGCAGCAAGTCTGCGGCAGACCTGCCGCAGACTCTTCATCATACTGAAAGAGTATGCGGCAAGTCTGCAGCAAGTCTGCGGCAGACCTGCCGCAGACTCTTCATCATACTGAAAGAGTATGCGGCAAGTCTGCGGCAGAACTGCCGCAGACTCTTCATCATACTGAAAGAGTATGCGGCAAGTCTGCGGCAGACCTGCCGCAGACTCTTCATCATACTGAAAGAGTATGCGGCAAGTCTGCGGCAGACCTGCCGCAGACTCTTCATCATACTGAAAGAGTATGCGGCAGGTCTGCAGCAAGTCTGCGGCAGACCTGCCGCAGACTCTTCATCATACTGAAATAGTATGCGGCAAGTCTGCGGCAAGTCTGCGGCAAAACTAATTTGCATGTGAAAAAGATGACTGTCTGCGGCAGGTCTGCTGCAGATCTGCGGCAAGTCTGCCGCAGGAGTATGCGGCAGGCTCATTTCTTTCCTATGGGTGTAAATGAAATAGTTGATGTCAAGGCCGGCATGGAACATTAACTTGGAGTTAATACCAGTGCAGGTGCATGCATGTACAGAGTCCAGTCAGGCTTGTCACAGGTTTTTCATAACTTAATATAGAGTGTATATATGTTCATTCTGTACAGAAGTACTCTTGAATATCATAAGTATAATGGCTCGAAACCCAAACAATGAAATAAAGTACTATCGCTTTGTCAGGGCACAGCCAAGTATCATTAATCTGGGACCCGTTTCACAAAGCCTTTTTTCAATGACAAATGACAAATATCAGTGACAAATTTGCTGATAACCAATCAGAAGCAAGGATTTCAGTAGCTTAGAACATAGCCTGCCATTTGTCACTGATGACAAGTTTTGTGAAACGGGCCCCTGATCCTATAACATGAGGGTATTCGGTTTTGAGATTATACTCCATGAACTTGGAAGGTGTGTCAAAACTCATAGATCATTACTCCTTTATAATTTCATTTCGACAATTTTTTCCCCTGAACACCGTTTTATGTTTACCACATTCCATCATGCACCAGGCTTTTGAAATGGGAAGAATGTTGGTGCACTTTTGCATGAAGAAAAAAAATCATATTATGACGTAGTCATTTTTCAAACATTTGAAAAGAATATTTGGAACGAGGAGATTAAGACATACTTTCATTTGTTCATGTATTAGTTCACTGTTAGCCCACTTCCTTCTGAAAAAGTGTCGTAATGACAAAGATTCCCTTCTACCCACCCCACATTTTTACACATGTATATCTCAGAGTAGCTAGAGCATACTGCTTGATGAGAGCCAGAAGGGCATTCATTTTTTTATTTTAATTAACACAGACAATATCCAAAAAGTCAGTGAATTATTGTGGTAACAAGCTCCTTGGGGCCACAGAAACTTATAGTTTTTGCCCAAAATAAGTTTGTCACGACATTGTTCTTCACATCAAGGTTTAACATTTTGCTTGCTTTCTTCACTTCTCTGCATGGTTGTTTCTTTGCAACATGCATGCATTTTCGCACAAAATTGAGGGAAGGATTACTTTTTGTAACACAATGATTTTGCAAAATAACTCAAAATCCGGTCTTAATTAGCACCATGAATATCCTTTTACCTCTAGTATAAATTAATATTGCGGTGGGAACAGTTCACTCACCTTGAAGCCTTTGGTGTTTCTATACCCCATGATAAATACTTTGTCGCAATGGGAGATTATTTGTGTGGCATATAAAGATTTAAGTGTAAAAATCCCTGTATTATCAATTAAAGTAGATTATTTGTTGGTGACCTCAAGGTCATTTCATACACATATCTCTCTCTCTCTCTCTCTCTCTCCCTCTCTCTCCCTCTCTCTCTCTCTCTCTCTCTCTCTCTCTCTCTCTCTCTCTCTCACTCTCTACCTCTATTACTCTTGTCTCTCTCCTTCCCTCTTCAATTTTTTTTAAAAACTAGTACTGTATCCTGTGGCAACAAAATATGCAGACTTTCTATTACTATACATAAAATGAAAAACAAATTTTTAAATATTAAATTAATAAGCTAAGTGATTTTCAAACATTCCTTCTACAGAAAATCAAGTTTTGGGGCAAATCTTGTATAAAAATGGGTCAAAGTGTCACCATTTGACATAAAATACCAGCATCGAATGAACATTGAATACCTTTTTTCTTGGCACCTCTGAAAAACATTCCCAGAACTCAATTCATATCCACATATACTTTTATGACAGGAAATAATGATGAATTTTTCCTTTTCTGGTTTTAAAAACTTTTTTCAAAACCCAAAATGACTTTGCTTGAACATCAAGACACTTTAAGCCAAAAGCCATCCAGCAATTGTTACAATCCGGAATACATAAAAAAATCTTCAGAACACAGATGATGCCTGCAAACTTGTAGATGATACGTACCCAGAAATATTTGTACATCTCAACTTCTTGACTGAATCCCTTCCAACTTCAAACAACCAATTCCATATTACTTTGATAAAAGAACAACTTCAAAATTTATAGACTTTCTTACTCGAGTATAGAAAGCTAAATGTTGAGTAAATATTCAAGTGTGTCAGGCTGTTACAATCAATTTGCAGCATGTATATTTTGTTTCAGAAGTGCATTTTTTGTTCCATTCATTCGTTTAGTCATGGGCTAATTCTTATTGTATTGTAGCTGGCTCACAAAAGTAGCGGATTATTTGCCCATGGGCGGTTTCTCTTTACTCTTTCTTCAACGCGATTGTTCAAAGCTCCATACAACCAATGTTTACACAATTGGTAAAAACCCGTCACTGCATTGTATCAAAAAATTTAACTTATTGTCACTCTTTTGAGATTTAGTTGAAGTCTGCCCTCTAGTGGCCATTAGTCAGCAGACTACACACTAAATCACAATGTAGTTATGCATTTTTTACAGTGCCAAGGTTTATGCAGTGTGCAACAGTAGTAAGCCCTCTTGTGGCAAACAGAGCTAATTATAGAACTATTTTCTATAAAGAATAAAGATATGGTTGCAAAAATACAGAGCAAAAGAATCAGAAAACACAATATGGACATTCCTCTATCATAAAATATTAAAAATGAATAAATCCATGGTAAAATGATAGTATTTAAGGTCTTCAAACAAATTATGATATTGCGTAAAAGCTAAACAGAAAGTAATCATGTTTGAATTGACTTTGCTGCTTCATTTACTCAATGACTGACTTCTCTCATTCTACAAAACCCAATACAGGAATCATCCAAATCCTGTAGACGATGTCAACATGTTTTAGAACACCTAGAGATTACAAGAGGTAACAATTAATCCCCATAACAAAACAACAAAATAATAAGCAACAAATTTCTGAACACAAACTCATCATTATTACCTTCAGAAAGGCCTTTAAAATACTTTTTTTTTTGCAGTTTCAAGTTGTTTTTCTTATTATATGTATTTGTGTAATTTTGATTTTCATTCACTGTGAATTTTGGGCCTTAAAGGTAATACAAAGTTTTGGGAAATTGTAAAATTTGGCTGGATAGTGATTCTTTACAACTTTGATATATTTGGATGCCCCTGTGGATGTGTTATAAGCACTAGAAAATTTAACCCCTAAAATACTTTTGCTTTTGAGATAAATTGAATATAAAACTTTACCGGTGCTCCCGGTAAATTTTGTTGAATTTCAAATAAGGCCTACGGCCTTACAATTTACAGCTGTGACCATGTAAATCTCAAAATATGTAGTTGTGATATATATAATTTCCAAACGGGAATAACCAATCGGTCGACTTTAGTCAAGAAACATTGTTTTATAGCTAAATTAATATATTGACCTTTAGAGGGAGCTATACAACATAATCAGTTTATTATTACAATTTCATCACTTTAGACTCGATTTCATCCGCGCAAACGATCACTGAATATTGTAGGATCGCATATGCTTCCAATATGTTCATATGAACCAAATTCATAACCCCATACCAAAACTTTGTATTACCTTTAAGGGAAAAGCGCAGTATAAGTAATAATAATAATAATAATAATTTAAAAAGCAAAGAAGGGTAACCATCTTGCACTTACCCTAACTCCGACTGCAAAGCGCCCCTTGAAGTCCCTGAAGGGTAAGGTCACAGAGTCATGACGACGTCGATAGACCATCACGACCACGAAGATGAAGAGAACAAAAGCAATGAGGGCGACAACCACAAGAATCCAGATGAGAACGGAACTGGAATACCCCTGGGGTGTGATGGATTGACCAGTGTCTGGAACATTGTCCGCTGTATGATGGAAATGGAGAAAATGATCTCACTGATAAAAACGGATGCATGTAATAATAATAATAATAATAATAATAATAATATTCAGCTTTTATATAATGCTCAACACCTGGGTGGAGAGTAACAAGTGTAGGTTAATATCTTGCCAAAAGATATTAGTGCTTTGTCATATAACTTACAGGTGCAATTTGATATATCCTCTGTTACTCTCTGTATTTTGTTAACGTAAGTATGATGCTGCTACAGTATATGTATTCTTATGACCGCTGTATGATGGAAAATGAGAATATTATCTCACTGATAAAAAGGATGCATGTTTCAATATTGTTTAAGGCAATTACTTCATTACTATATGACATTCAGGTGCAATGTGATATATCCTCTATTACTGTGGTGGTGGTGGTGGTTATTTTACCTGGCTGCTAAGAAAGCATAAAAGCTTGTTAGTATTAAGCAACAAGACGGCCGACGGCTTTAGGTCCTCTCCGAGGGACCTGGTAATGAGGGTTGATGCCTTACCAAAGGGCACTAGTGCATCCACTTGGTTTCGAACCCGGGTCACCGGATTACGAGACCACTGCGCTACCAACTGAGCTATCGCGCCTCCTCCTACTGTCTATATTTTGTTTACGTAAGTATGATGCTGCTACAGTATGTATTCTATGTATTCTAATACCGCTGTATGATGGAAAATGAGAAAATGATCTCACTGAAAAAAGGATGCATGTTTCAATATTGTTTAAGGCAATTACTTCATTACTATATGACTCACAGGTGCAATGTGATATATCCTCTATTACAGTCTATATTCTGTTAACATATGTATGATGCTGCTATATATACATAGATACATGTACAGTCAAACCTGCTTTAGTGACCACCTGTCTACAATGACCACATTTTTTGTTTCCGTTAAAAAAGGTTTCTTATTGAAACATGTACTAAAGGAACATGTCTAAAAAGACCACTTTTTGTGTATTCCTTGGGCGGTTGCTATAGACAGGTTTGACTGTATCCTCAAAAAAATAATGATCAACTATCATCTTCCCATCAGTGATTACTTTAAGAAGCTTGACAAATTTTGTATATTACATGAACATCCTATGTAGTTTTCTTTCAATCTCCTTATTGCTATTTTGCATGCACCTCACAAAAGAGTTACTTACTGGTTCTTATCATGATGTATACAAAGTCCTTTAAAAGTACATGGATAAGTTAAATCACACTACGATACAGTATGAGGTAGAAAAGAAAAGAATATCATTATTATTCATATCTCATTATATTTGATGTTTCTAGCGCTTTCTCACCTTCAGTTGTTATAAAGGCCTTCTGGAAAGAGATCACCTTGGTTTCCTCGGTGAAAAATCCAAGAAGTCGGACAAAGTACAGCGTGCTTGGATCCAGGCCGGAGATGGTGTACTCTCTCTCGGATTTGCTGATGAGGGTGGACAACGTCCACAAGTCTTCCTCGGATCTCCTGTACTCAAGGACGAAGGCAACTAAGTTGTCTGCATCGAGAAAGTTCCAGGCCAGGTCGACCATGGTGTCCCTCGTGTCAATGACTTCCAAGACGATGAGGAACTCTGCATTGGCAAGAAGGATATCTCAATGGATAGATTGATAAAGGATGTTTGAGACTTAAGCTTTGTTCAAAAGACCAGTTTACTTACATATCCAAATTTTGTGCATAGTGTTTAAAGAAAAGTTATTCTTGACAACCCAAAAGCTTGCCTGAGGCTAACCCTGCATAGCAACAAGTGATATATGCAAACTGAATTCCAAGTATTGTAGTTCATTTATTAATAACAGAATAATGGAATACCTCGTCCCTAGGTCCCCAGGAAAGAAACATCCATCAATTTGAATATGTAGGTAAAACGGTCTATTTACAAACTGCATATTAAACATAAATACAAACCATCGACTGGAATGAATATAACTTTTAATCACTCTATTCTCACTCACTTTAGTCAACCAAAGGGACTAAGAAAGGACTGCTACAGTTAATTTGCCACACAATCTACTTGATATGGATCATGTAATTGAAAGAATGTGGCAGTCTAAAGATTCAATACATAGCACACAGAGTTCACAGTATCATGGACAGGTGCAAAAGTTTTAATCAGGGTTAAATTCTTAGCAAAAAAGTATCCATACTTCCTCCAAATTGGGTAAACTAGCATAGCAGCTTTCCATTGAAATGGTTTAGAATATCTAAAGCATTTATCACCATCCTTGTCAGGGAGAATTTACAAATGGTAATTTCGCTTTCTGATGTCCCCAAACTTGGAAAGCATACCAAATATGTTGTGCACTTTTGGGAACCCTTGTACAGTCAAACCTGCTTTAGAGACCACCTGTCTACAAAGACCACCTGTCTACAAAGGCCACATTTGTTTTTTCCCTTAAAAATGGTTTCTCATTGAATCATGTACTAAAGGAACCAGTCTACGAAGACCACCTGTCTACAAAGGCCACTACAGAGGCCACTTGTTTGCTAAGAACCCTGTCGCTTTAGACAGGTTTTACTGTATAACCCTCTTCAACAATATAAGTTAAAAATTGAAAAATCTCACCATTTTCACACGTATCACCCGACCATCCATCAGGACACCTGCATAGACATGAAGATGAGTAAATCATTGGTATCGTTTAACAATGTTAAATCTGAGATGCACGGCCCGACGTCTTATCAGTGTCTGTGATATGGTGTAATATTGAAGCCCTAAAAAATTGCGCTTCAAAATTATCAAGAAGTGCCTCAAAAAAGTAAAAATCTTTGAGTGACCGGTTTTACCATATTGTTTTCCCCAATAGACTGTATTGTTATGAAAACCGTTAGGAAAACGCAAAATTTAGTTTCGATTTCCAATCATAAATATCTTGATAATCAGACAGGCGATCGGCTTGTAAAAGTCATGGGGTTCCTGACTGACCTAAAGGTTTATAATTATGATTGCAGCATGAGCTAAATCCAGGATTTTGTTTCAGAATCTGAGACATTAAAGTTACCGGATCCTGAGATATATGATCTAAGGTAGATGATTAGGACTCTGGGTCTCCATCGAGGAGGCGCGGTAGCTCAGTTGGTAGAGCAGTGGTCTCATAATCCGGTTACCCGGGTTCGAAACCAAGTCGATGCGCTAGTGCCCTTTGGTAAGGCATTAATCCTCATTAGCAGGTCCCTCGGAGAGGACCTAAAGCCGTCGGACATCTGGTTGCTTACTAACAAGCATTTATGCTTTCTTAGCAGCCAGGGAAATAACCACCACCACCATCCTACACAACAGTTTGCTTTCAAGGACACCGACACTCAGAAAATATCATGGATGGGAAACAACAAAATCATTATATATACAATACATAAAAGGTGCATAAAATCAGTACAATGATGATTAATAGATCACCAGTATCTAACGTTAGGCTCATAAATACATCGGGTAGCAGTACTTTTGCTCACCATTTTTGATTATGAGCCCCCCTCCCCCCAAATACAAGGAGGTATCAATAGTTTTCCTTTTTTATTAATTAATTAAAACCAGTATATACATGTACCTCCTACTGACTGCCACAGTTAACAATCTGGCTTGGCTGACAAATCAAAATATTAAATAATTGATTTCTAAATACCACTTTACAGAAAAAAATAAGACAAAGAGATTTTGACATTGGTGTATATATTACTAACATAGTTGCCTACATTATATTTGTTCAATAGGACCAGTGATTTTTCACCCATTCCTCTACAGTAACCAGTACTCATGTACAAGTAGTGACCATTTGATTACTCACAGACACATGAATGAATTGTAGCCAAGTCCATGACAAGTCCCTCCATTGAGACAAGGTGTCTCTAGCCCACATACATCTACACCTGAAAATATAATAATAAAATATATATAAATAATAACGCTTCATGTAAATAAACAAAAAAGTTTCTTGTGACGTGAGGTAATTGTCTTAACATGCATTATTACAAAATTCTGGCCAACATGCATTTACAATGATGAACATGCAACTGTACAAAATAGCACACTGTAACAATATGCAAAGATCCAGGACAGTTTTATAGCACACGTTCTTCCCCTCACAAGTTTCCCCTTTTGATATCTACATCCCAATAGATTTGTGTCACCATTATCTTCTTTTCCCTAATACACTGGCAAAGAAAACACACTGTACAATAAGCCAGTTCACGGTTGTAGTCTGAGCATGAGCAGATAAAGGTCATTGCAGAACAAATTTTGAAATACACGGAGACGAAATACTGGATACGTGTTCATGAAAGTTATGTATTCATTATTCATTCATGCACATTCAGTGCACTCCATGATACACAGGTGGAAGTATTCTTTAAAAAGGGGAAACAAAGGCTATTTATGTAGCACTTCCATCGCTGTAGGAGTGATTATTTCACAATGTACAAAGTGGGACCTCTTCATGTTTTGAAGATCTGTGGATATTCAGGGTCATTGCAGAGTAATGTGCTAACCATGAACTGGTCTATTACATGTACAAATATGGATGAGAAGCCTTGTATAAGGATATAATATACAGCATTTGTTATGCGCCATCGATCTAGTAAACTATTCCGAGGCACAGAGGGATCCCAATTATTACCCTGGCTTTAGCACGGCTGCCATTACGGCGCTCTAGCATTTCAAGGAATTAATTCCTGCAAGGTGCCCATTTACATCGCCTGGGTAGAATGTGGCAAATGTAGATCAATGTTTTGCCAAAGGACATTAGTGCTGCGACGGGACTCGAACCGCGGACTTGTGATCGACAGTCCGGCGACGTATCCACTCGACCACGACATCTCTATTCTCCAGCCTGATCTTGAGTGAAAGCTGAGAGACTGACTCGCTAAACGACAGTGCCTCCAGCAATCTATCATACCATTCAATAATTTGAGAGTACCGTATGTTTGTCTTTCATTACCAGTTAATCTATGAGAGCATGTCTATGCTATCTCTTTGAACTTGAAATGTTTGTCAAAACAGTTTTATAAATATCAAGTCATTCAATTTGGATGACTTTCAAAAGCGATTTTTTATGTTTTATGTCAATTGGCAATACAGAAACCAAGAAAAGTAATAAGTAATATCAAGATGTATCTTTCTTAGTTGAGCCTTTAACGCATTTCTATTCATGCCGTGATCTTTCTCTTCCACTTTCTTTTTTTTCTATCTATTTAATTTTATCAGTCTGTTGATCAAACTCTATATGCAATGTTGTAAAAATGATATAAAGTAATAAAATGCCTTGTATGAGGTAAAGAGAGAAGAAAAAAAAGAAGAAAAAACCATCAATGCTACATTGTTAACTCACCGTCCACCAAGAAGCGTGCAAATGTAAAGACATTCCTGCTCCTCGAGTCGATCAGAAACGCTTCGGACATGAACTGGGCATTGAAGATGTTTTCTGCAGTGACTAGCGCCCCCTCCTGATTGACGTCTGTCACGTTAAACTCTACGGATGCGATAATGCTGCCATTCACTAGGTTCGTAACACTGCACTGGATGCCGTTTGTATCGAAGGACAAGTCTTGGAAGTATTCAAACAGCTGGAGACAGAAAGAATCATGGATGAGACATGGATAATAACGATGTTGATGCTCTGTTTTTCACTTGAGAGCTACCATACATGTAGAGTCGCAATGCATGCACTTTCATGAATGAATTCCTAACTTCTTGACTCTACACAATGCATGTACGTGTACATTACTCTTAACCTAACCTAAAACAAAATAGCAGCCCAAGTTCCAACCCTATATCTGTGACCAAAAAATGCCCTCAGCAAATATCAATGGATGAGATGTATAATCATCTGAGTCACATCGTAAGAGATATAAGAGAATCTGTCCTGGTAAAAGGAAGGCAGTATTTCAACAAAGGTTTGAATGTTGAATTAGAAACATTGTTCGAGCGAAGCAATAGAAGACATCTCTATAGAGAGGAAGTTACTGTAGCAAATTTGCTTTACAGGTCAGTAACCAGAGGACTTTAATATCCAGGTGATCCCAATAATATCCCCTATTATGCAGAGCAATATTTTGTTCAGTATTTGATTTGTCCATGACTTACTCTCCTGAGCAGAATTTGCATCATTATATTTTAAATACTGAATAATAATTCTAAATCTTGTCTGAAACGCAAACATAGATGAAAACAAGATATTGTTTTTTGTTCAATTCCTGTTCTTGTGACTTACTGCATTGCAGAGGGCCGCTTGGAAGTTGAGGAAGACTGGGTTTGTAGGGTCTTGAAGTGGCACCGAAAGAAAGGCTTCATCCCCATTCAATTCCAGAATTGTAGCCGTAGCTCTTACCACCTCGGTATCTGCAAATCGATGGCGATAGATGGAAGAGAAAATAATGAAGTAAAGCATAAAGCGTAAAGCACATTAAGAACCCACTGCACTATTCATTTAAGAGTAGGGGGAAACCCCGGTGAAGTGGTCCACCTGCACACACCCCAGTATAGTACGATAATAGTCTGTAAAGAGGTATATACTCAAAATGGAAGAAGAAGTCAATAATCAAAAACAGAGGAGATAGGTGGGTACAGAACAACAATCTCTGATCAAAGGTTGATGACCAATCTAACAGAAACTATCAGTCTGAAAATAACCACAATTTTTAATTCTAGTACTCTGTTGGTTGTCAATTATATGTTTTGAATCTTTGAAATTTTTCATCAATATTGAATCTTTAGATGGATATCTACGTACATGCAAATTTCACCAATCAAGATATACTAGGTATAAAGACAAATCGTGCTAACAATAAAAAGAATGATTTTATAAACACTTATTGGTGGCGGTTAAAATATGAAGTGGCAATCCCTGCAGAACTTTCAATATGATTGCTGGCACTGACATGACTCCTTTTAATTTATGCGTTATAACAATACTTCAGAATAGTATATTGCAACAAGTGTCAAACAAGAGTTGTTCAATGAACACACCTTTTGTAGTGCCTGTTGTATATCTAACTTAGACAATTCCCTTGCAATCTCCTTCATGATTAGAGGAGAACCAATATTTCTATTATCATAAGATACAGAAAATAATCACAGACTTACATGGCACAGGTACTGGACTTGTTATGTTTGTCATATTCATCGTCTGTGAAGTGGTGAAGGAGGGAGAAGATGTTGTTGTTCCATCTGATTCACTGGTAGTTCTGGATTGTGGACTGGTTGTTGCTTGGTGATCTCTAGTGGTTCCTGAGGAAGCTTTTGTGGATCCTGCTGGACTGTCAGTTGCAGGTTTTGTTTGTCTGGTTGTAACCATTTCTTTGGTGGTACCACTTTCATCTTGGGTGGTTCCTTTAGGTTCCTGTGTAGTGGTAACAACTATTGTGGTAGCTACAGTAGCTTCTGTAGAACCTATTGGTCTCTCAGTGACAGAGGTCGTTTGTCTGGCTGTAGTCATTTCTCTGGTAGTACCACTTTCACCTTGGGTGGTTCCTTTAGGTTCCTGTGTAGTAGCAACAACTATTGTGGTAGCTACAGTAGCTTCTGTAGAACCTACTGGACTGTCAGTTGCAGGTTTTGTTTGACTGGTTGTAGTCATTTTTTTGGTGGTACCACTTTCAACTTGGGTGGTTCCTTTAAGTTCCTGCGTAGTATCAACAACTATTGTGGTAGCTACAGTAGCTTCTGTAGAACCTATTGGTCTCTCAGTGACAGAGGTCGTTTGTTTGGCTGTAGCCATTTCTTTGGTGGTACCACTTTCATCTTGGGTGGTTCCTTTAGGTTCCTGTGTAGTGGTAACAACTATTGTGGTAGCTACAGTAGCTTCTGTAGAACCTATTGGTCTCTCAGTGACAGAGGTCGTTTGTTTGGCTGTAGCCATTTCTTTGGTGGTACCACTTTCATCTTGGGTGGTTCCTTTAGGTTCCTGTGTAGTGGTAACAACTATTGTGGTAGCTACAGTAGCTTCTGTAGAACCTTCTGGTCTCTCAGTGATAGGGGTTGTTTGTCTGGCTGTAGTCATTTCATTGGTGGTTTCACTTTCACCTTGGGTGGTTCCTTCAGGTTCCTGTGTAGTAGCAACAACTATTGTGGTAGCTACAGTAGCTTCTGTAGAACCTACTGGTCTCTCAATGATAGGGGTTGTTTGTCTGGCTGTAGCCATTTCATTGGTGGTTCCACTTTCACCTTCGGTGGTTCCTTCAGGTTCCTGTGTAGTAGCAACAACTATTGTGGTAGCTACAGTAGCTTCTGTAGAACCTACTGGTCTCTCAGTGACAGAGGTCGTTTGTTTGGCTGTAGCCATGTCTTTGGTGGTAACATTTTCACCTTGGGTGGTTCCTTCAGGTTCCTGTGTAGTAGCAACAACTATTGTGGTAGCTACAGTAGCTTCTGTAGAACCTACTGGTCTCTCGGTGGCAGAGGTCGTTTGTCTGGCTGTAGCCATTTCTTTGGTTGTAACACTTTCACCTTGGGTGGTTCCTACAGGTTTCTGTGTAGTAGCAACATGTTCTGTAGAAGCTGCAGTAACTATTGTAGATCCGAATGGTCCCTCAGTGCCGGGGTTAGTTTGTCTGGCTGTAGCCATTTCATTGGTAGTACCACTTTCACCTTTGGTGGTTCCTTCAGGTTCCTGTGTAGTAGCAACAACTATTGTGGTAGCTACAGTAGCTTCTGTAGAACCTACTGGTCTCTCAATGATAGGGGTTGTTTGTCTGGCTGTAGCCATTTCATTGGTGGTTCCACTTTCACCTTCGGTGGTTCCTTCAGGTTCCTGTGTAGTAGCAACATGTTCTGTAGAAGCTGCAGTAGCTTCTGTAGAACCTACTGGTCTCTCGGTGGCAGAGGTCGTTTGTCTGGCTGTAGCCATTTCTTTGGTTGTAACACTTTCACCTTGGGTGGTTCCTACAGGTTCCTGTGTAGAAGCAACGTTGTCTGTAGAAGCTGCAGTAACTTTTGTAGATCCCACTGGTCCCTCAGATGAAGGAGCTTCTGTAGAACCTGCTGGTTCCTCAGTGGGAGGGTTTGTTTGTCTAGTTGTAGCTGTTCCTTTGGTCGTAGTACCTTCACTTTGAGTGGTTCCTTTAGCTACAACTGTAGAAGCAACACCACCTGTAGAAGTTACAGGAGATTCTGTAGATCCTTCTGGTCTGTCAGTTGAAGGGTTTGTTTGTCTAGTTGTGCCCGTTTCCTTGGTGGTAGCACTTTCAAAGTCAGTGGTGCTTGTAGATTCTGCTGTAGAGACAGCACCTCTTGTGGTAGCTAAAGGAACATTGGTAGATCCTAGTGGTACCTCAGATGAAAGGCTTACTTGTACTGTTGTAACTGTTTCCTCTGTAGTAGCACCTTCACCTTGAGTGGTGGTTACATCCTCTTCAGTAGAAGCAACTATTCTTGTGGTAACAACTACTACATCTGTAGATGCTCCTGGTCCCTCAGATGAAGGATTTATTTTTACTGTTGTAACTGTTCCCTTGGTAGAGGTACTTTCACCTTGAGTTGTCTTTTCAGCTTCCATCGTAGAGGCAAGACTACCTGTAGATGCTACAGGAGCTTCTGTTGAGCCTGATGGTCCTCGCGATGATGGATTTACATCTACTGTTGTTACAATTTCCTCAGTAGTAATTTTGTCACCCTGAGTGGTACTTGTCATAATTCCTACTGGATTTGTTGTTACTTCCTCAAAAACAGTAGTACTCTTTGCTGCTCCAGTAACTTCCACTTCACTAGTTGAATATTGCGAAGTTACTTCTTTCTCAAGCGGTGTACTCCTTACTTCTTCAGTAGACTGCTCTGTTGTAGACTGGAATGGTGATTTTGTTACCAACTCTGTAGCTGCCTCAACACTTGTTGATTCTGTAAATTCAGTAGACATTTTATCAGACTCTGTTGTTACTTCAACAAGGCTTGTTGTTATCACTGATTCTGTAGCTTCTTCTGTGTTAACACCCGTTGTCTCTGTAAATTCAGTCGTCATATCATCAGACTCTGTTGTTACATCAACAAGGCTTGTTGTTCTCACTGGTTCTGTAGCTTCTTCTGTGTTAACACCCGTTGTCTCTGTAAATTCAGTCGTCATATCATCAGACTCTGTTGTTACTTTAACAAGGCTTGTTGTTCTTACTGGTTCTGTAGCTTCTTCAGTTTCAACACCAGGTGTCTCTGTTAATTCAGTTGTCGTTTTCTCAGACTCTGTTGTTACTTCAACAAGACCTGTGGTTCTTACTGGTTCTGTAGCATCTTCAGTTTCAACATCAGGTGTCTCTGTAAATTCAGTTGTCATTTTCTCAGACTCTGTTGTTACTTCAACAAGACCTGTGGTTCTTACTGGTTCTGTAGCTTCTTCAGATTCAACACCAGGTGTCTCTGTAAATTCAGTTGTCATTTTCTCAGAATCTGTTGTTACATCAACAAGGCTCGTTGTTCTCACTGGTTCTGTAGCTTCTTCTGTGTCAACACTTGTTGCCTCTGTAAATTCAGTCGTCATATCATCAGACTCTGTTGTTACATCAACAAGGATTGTTGTTCTCACTGGTTCTGTAGCTTCTTCTGTGTCAACACTTGTTAATTTTGTAAATTCAGTTGTCAATTCCTCAGAATCTGTTGTTACTTCAACAAGTCCTGTGGTCCTTACTGGTTCTGTAGCTTCTTCTGTGTTAACACCCGTTGTCTCTGTAAATTCAGTTGTCGTTTTCTCAGACTCTGTCGTTACTTCAACAAGGCTTGTTGTTCTTTCTGGTTCTGTAGCTTCTTCTGTGTCAACACTTGTTGTCTCTGTCAATTCAGTTGTTAATTCCTCAGAATCTGTTGTTACTTCAACAAGACCTGTGGTCCTTACTGGTTCTGTAGCTTCTTCTGTGTTAACACCCGTTGTCTCTGTAAATTCAGTTGTCGTTTTCTCAGACTCTGTCGTTACTTTAACAAGGCTTGTTGTTCTTTCTGGTTCTGTAGCTTCTTCTGTGTCAACACTTGTTGTCTCTGTAAATTCAGTTGTCATTTCCTCAGAATCTGTGGTTACATCAACAAGGCTTGTTGTTCTCACTGGTTCTGTAGCTTCTTCAGTTTCAACACCAGGTGTTTCTGTAAATTCAGTTGCCATTTCCTCAGAACCTGTTGTTACTTCAACAAGACCTGTGGTTCTTACTGGTTCTGTAGCTTCTTCAGTTTCAACACCAGGTGTCTCAGTAAATTCAGTTGTCATTTTCTCAGAATCTGTTGTTACATCAACAAGGCTCGTTGTTCTCACTGGTTCTGTAGCTTCTTCTGTGTCAACACTTGTTGTCTCTGTAAATTCAGTCGTCATATCATCAGACTCTGTTGTTACATCAACAAGGATTGTTGTTCTCACTGGTTCTGTAGCTTCTTCTGTGTCAACACTTGTTGTCTCTGTAAATTCAGTTGTCATTTCCTCAGAATCTGTGGTTACATCAACAAGGCTTGTTGTTCTTTCTGGTTCTGTAGCTTCTTCTGTGTCAACACTTGTTGTCTCTGTCAATTCAGTTGTCGATTCCTCAGAATCTGTTGTTACTTCAACAAGATCTGTGGTCCTAAATGGTTCTGTAGCTTCTTCTGTGTTAACACCCGTTGTCTCTGTAAATTCAGTTGTCGTTTTCTCAGACTCTGTCTTTACTTCAACAAGGCTTGTTGTTCTTTCTGGTTCTGTAGCTTCTTCTGTGTCAACACTTGTTGTCTCTGTAAATTCAGTTGTCGTTTTCTCAGACTCTGTTGTTACATCAACAAGGCTTGTTGTTCTTACTGGTTCAGTAGCTTCTTCTGTGTCAACACTTGTTGTCTCTGGAAATTCAGTTGTCGTTTTCTCAGACTCTGTCGTTACTTTAACAAGGCTTGTTGTTCTTACTGGTTCTGTAGCTTCTTCAGTTTCAACACCAGGTGTCTCTGTAAATTCAGTTGTCATTTTCTCAGAATCTGTTGTTACATCAACAAGGCTCGTTGTTCTCACTGGTTCTGTAGCTTCTTCTGTGTCAACACTTGTTGTCTCTGGAAATTCAGTTGTCATTTCCTCAGAATCTGTTGTTACATCAACAAGGCTTGTTGTTCTTACTGGTTCAGTAGCTTCTTCTGTGTCAACACTTGTTGTCTCTGGAAATTCAGTTGTCATTTTCTCAGAATCTGTTGTTACATCAACAAGGCTAGTTGTTCTCACTGGTTCTGTAGCTTCTTCTGTGTTAACACTTGTTGTCTCTGTAAATTCAGTCGTCATATCATCAAACTCTGTTGTTACATCAACAAGGATTGATGTTCTCACTGGTTCTGTAGCTTCTTCTGTGTCAACACTTGTTGATTTTGTAAATTCAGTTGTCAATTCCTCAGAATCTGTTGTTACTTCAACAAGATCTGTGGTCCTTACTGGTTCTGTAGCTTCTTCTGTGTTAACACCCGTTGTCTCCGTAAATTCAGTTGTCATTTCCTCAGAATCTGTGGTTACATCAACAAGGCTTGTTGTTCTCACTGGTTCTGTAGCTTCTTCAGTTTCAACACTTGTTGTCTCTGGAAATTCAGTTGTCATTTCCTCAGAATCTGTTGTTACATCAACAAGGCTTGTTGTTCTTACTGGTTCTGTAGCTTCTTCAGTTTCAACACCAGGTGTTTCTGTAAATTCAGTTGCCATTTCCTCAGAACCTGTTGTTACTTCAACAAGACCTGTGGTTCTTACTGGTTCTGTAGCTTCTTCAGTTTCAACACTTGTTGTCTCCGGAAATTCAGTTGTCATTTCCTCAGAATCTGTTGTTACATCAACAAGGCTTGTTGTTCTCACTGGTTCTGTAGCTTCTTCTGTGTCAACACTTGTTGCCTCTGTAAATTCAGTCGTCATATCATCAGACTCTGTTGTTACATCAACAAGGATTGTTGTTCTCACTGGTTCTGTAGCTTCTTCTGTGTCAACACTTGTTGATTTTGTAGATTCAGTTGTCAATTCCTCAGAATCTGTTGTTACTTCAACAAGATCTGTGGTCCTTACTGGTTCTGTAGCTTCTTCTGTGTTAACACCCGTTGTCTCTGTAAATTCAGTTGTCGTTTTCTCAGACTCTGTCGTTACTTCAACAAGGCTTGTTGTTCTTTCTGGTTCTGTACCTTCTTCTGTGTCAACACTTGTTGTCTCTGTAAATTCAGTTGTCATTTCCTCAGAATCTGTGGTTACATCAACAAGGCTTGTTGTTCTCACTGGTTCTGTAGCTTCTTCAGTTTCAACACCAGGTGTCTCTGTAAATTCAGTTGTCGTTTTCTCAGACTCTGTTGTTACATCAACAAGGCTTGTTGTTCTTTCTGGTTCTGTAGCTTCTTCTGTGTCAACACTTGTTGTCTCTGGAAATTCAGTTGTCATTTCCTCAGAATCTGTTACATCAACAAGGCTTGTTGTTCTTACTGGTTCAGTAGCTTCTTCTGTGTCAACACTTGTTTTCCCTGGAAATTCAGTTGTCATTTTCTCAGAATCTGTTGTTACATCAACAAGGCTTGTTGTTCTTACTGGTTCAGTAGCTTCTTCTGTGTCAACACTTGTTGTCTCTGGAAATTCAGTTGTCGTTTTCTCAGACTCTGTTGTTACATCAACAAGGCTTGTGGTTCTTAATGGTTCTGTAGATTCTTCTGTTTCAACACTTGTTGGTTCTGTTAATTCAGTTGTCGTTTTCCCAGACTCTGTTGTTACTTCAACAAGGCTTGTTGTTCTTACTGGTTCAGTAGCTTCTTCTGTGTCAACACCAGGTGTCTCTGTAAATTCAGTTGTCATTTCCTCAGAAAATGTTGTTACTTCAACAAGACCTGTGGTTTTTACTGGTTCTGTAGGTTCTTCTGTGTCAACACCAGGTGTCTCTGTAAATTCAGTTGTCGTTTCCTCAGAAAATGTTACTTCAACAAGACCTGTCGTTTTTACTGCTTCTGTAGCTTCTTCTGTGTCAACACTTGTTGTCTCTGTAAATTCAGTTGATATTTTATCAGACTCTGTTGTTACTTCAACCAAGCTTGTTGTTCTTACATGTTCTGTAGCTTCTTCAGTTTCGACACCAGGTGTCTCTGTAAAATCAGTTGTCATATCATCAGACTCTGTTGTTACTTCAACAAGACTTGTGGTTGTTACTGGCACTGTAGCTTGTCCTGTGCTGGAGTTCGATTGCGAAGTTTCCTCTCCCACAAAAGATGTGGTTAGGACCGAACCAGTAACTTCTTCAGTAGTAGTAGTAAACCGGTCTTGTGATGTCCCAGTTCCAACATCGGTGGTGGTTGTAAATTCAGCAGTAATTTTTTCGGATTTTGTTGTTACTTCAACTAAAGTTGTAGTGCTCACAGGTTCTGTAGTTTCCTCTGTGGTAGATTCAAATTCCGATGTTACCCCTTCCTCTGTGACAGCAACACCAGTTGTCACTGTTAATTGAGCTGTCATTTGTTCTGACTCTGTTGTCACTTCTTCGACAAAACCTGTGGCACTTATTGGTTCTGTAGCTTCCTCTGTGGTAGATTTGGATTGAGGAGTGACCTCAAATGGTGTACTTGCTTCAGTAACTTCTTCTGTTGTGGACTGGTATTGTGAAGTTCCAGTTCCAATATTGGGTGTCTCAATAAATTCTGTAGCCATCTCTTCAGACTTCGTTGTTACTTCATCACCAAATCTTGTGGTTCTTACAGCTTCAGTAACTTCCTCTGTTGTAGACTGGTAATGTGATGTTACCTCTTCCTCAAAAAGTGTGGTTGTAACTGATTTAGTAAATTCCTCTGTTACAGCACCTGTTGTTTCTGTAAATTCGGTTGTCATTTCTTCTGGCTTTGTTGTTACTTCCTCAACAAAGCTAGTGGTTTCTACTACTTCAGTTACTTGTTCTATTGTTGACTGTTCTATCGTAGACTGGTCTTCAGAGGTTCCAGTTCCAACATCAGTTGCCTTATATAACTCAGTTGTTACTTTGTCAGAAGATGTTGTTACTTCTTCACCAAAAGTTGTGGTTCTAACTTTCTCTGTTGAAGACAGGTCTTGTGATGTCGCTTCTTCTTCTAAAAAATATGTAGTTCTTACTGCTTCTGTTACTTCTTCTTCCCGGGTGGGAGTAGATTCAGTAGCTTTCTCTGTTGTAGACTGATACTGTGAAGTTCCACCAGGTGTCTCACTTAACTCGGTTGTTACATCTTCAGCAAATGCTGTGGTTTGTGATGTTTCAGTAGTCTTTTCTGTTGTAGACTGGTATTGTGATGTTACTTCTTCCTCAAAAGGTGTAGTTTTTACAGCTTCAGTAACTTCCCCTGTTGTAGACTGGAATTGTGAAGTTCCAGGTCCAGGTGTTCCAGTAAAATTTGATGTGATGTCTGCAGAACTTGGTGTTGCCTCTTCCTCAAAAAAAGGTGTAGTCCTTATTAATTCAGTAACTTCCTCTTCCCTTGTGGTTAACTGGTACTGCGATGTTAACTCTTCATCAAAATATGTAGTTCTTATTGCATCAGTATCTTCCTCTGTTGTAGAATTGTACTGTGAAGTTGCTTTACCAGCACCAGGTGTCTCAGTAAAGTCTGTTGTCATTTTTTCAGGCTCTGTAATTTCTTCTTCAAAAGGTGTAGTTCTTACTGTCTCAGTAACTCCCTTTGTTGTAGACTGGTAATGTGATGTCATTTCTTCCTCAAAAGTTGTGGGTTTAACTGCTTCAGTAAGTTCCTCTACCTCTGTGGAAGATTGGTAGGCTGATGTGGTACCTAGAGGTGTTTCAGGAATCCCAGTTGTGCTATATACCAGTCTTGATGTTACCTTTTCCTCTTCCTCTGTCGTAGACTGGTATTGAGAAGTTACCGGTGCAATACTAAATGTCTCAGTAGAGCCAGAAGTGATATCTGTAGGACTTGATGGAATTTCTGGTGATGTCCCTTCCGTTGTTCCACTTTCTGTTGAAAGAACAGTAATTGATGTAACTGAAGCAGTAATTTCTTCCTGAGAAGTGGCTTCCTCTAATAACGTAGTTGAGTCTTTTTCTGTTGCAGGGACAAGTGTTGCATTGCTACCTGCATTTGATGTCATATCTGTTACAATGCTAGCATTATCAGGTGCAAAACTTGCTGTTACTCTGGTAGACATAGTGCCTTCTACTGATGTTGAGGCTTCTGCTTCTGATGTTGTGACTTGTGCTGCTGGTGAAGTAACAGCTTCAGAAGAGACAGTATTTTCTGTTGAGGGAGTATATGTATATGTGTCTCCTTCAGGTGTGGTCGCTTCAGCATTAGTTGACACCTCATTTTCTCTGGTTGTCCCTGAAACATCTGTGGTACTGGTAGTGTCGACTGGTGTAATACTCTCTGAACCAGCAGAAACTCCTGTTTCCAAGTGTGTAAACTCTCCCAAAGTAGTTTTTATATCTCCCGATGTAGTTTGCCTTGAAGTCTCTACAGTGCTTACAGGTTGAGAGGCAACTTCAAGAGTTGTAACTTGGGTAACCTCCAAGGTAGAAGTGTCTTCTGCCACAGATGTGATCCCTTTAGCTGATGAAGTAGCTTCCTCAGAAGTGATCTCTACTGTGGTCATCCGAACTGTAGAGGCTTCTTCAATGATCGTACTTCCCTCTACAGGTATCGTAGTTCCACTAGAAGTAGCCTGTTCAATGACTGTACTTCCTTCTTTAGATGCAGTAGTTCCACTAGATTCTGTAGTTGCTTGTCCAGCTGATGAGGTTACTTCAGCCTGTTCAAAAGTGGTTAGACCAGAGGAGCCAGATGAGGTTGCTCTTGCTTCAGTACCTGTCACACCTAATGTTGAAGTGGTATCTTCATATTCAGAGGTCACTGTTCTTACTGCACTACTTGTGTTTTCTTCTTGAGAAGTGTCTGTGGCTCCCAAGCTCGTAAGATCTTCTCCAGTTGTGGCCATCTCTCTCTTAGAAGTTAATGCAGCTTCCAGAGTTGTGACAATGGTTCCTCCTAATGTGGTAGTGCCTTCTACAACAGATGTGGTGCTTTCTACAACAGATGTGGTCCCTCCAGATGGTGAAGTACCTTCCTCAGATGTGATCTCCATTGGGGTCACTCCAACTGTAGTGGCTTCCCCAGTCAATGTAATTCTTTCTTCAGATGCAGTAGTTGCACTAGAAGTAGCCTGCTCAATGGCTGTACTTCCTTGTTTAGATGCAGTACTTCCACTAGATTCTGTAGTTGCCTGTCCAGCTGATGAGGTGACCTCTTGAATAGTGGTTAAACCAGAGGAGCCAGACGAAGTTGCTCTTGCTTCAGTACCTGTCACACCTAATGTTGAAGTGGTATCTTCATATTCGGAGGTCACTGTTCTTACTGCACTACTTGTGCTGCCCTTTTGAGAAGTGACTGTGGCTCCCAAGCTCGTAAGATCTTCTCCAGTTGTGGCCATCTCTCTCTTGGAAGTTAATTTAGTTTCCAGAGTTGTGACAATGGTTTCTCTTAATGTGGTAGTGCCTTCTACAACAGATGTGGTGCTTTCTACAACAGATGTGGTCCCTGAAGATGGTGAAGTAGCTTTCTCAGAAGTGATCTCTACTGGGGTTACTACAACTGTAGTGGCTTCCCCAGTCACTGTACTTCCCTCTTCAGATGCCGTAGTTCCACTAGACCTTGTGGTTGCCTGTCCAGTTGATGAGGTGACTTCAGCCTCTTGAATAGTGGTTCGACCAGAAGACCCAGATGTGGTTGCTCTTGATTCCGTACCTGTTAATACTGTACTACTTGTGCTGCCCACTTGAGAAGTGACTTTAAATTCCATACTTGTAAGATTTTCTCCAGTTGTGGCCATCTCTCTCTTGGAAGTTAATTCAGCTTCCAGAGTTGTGACAATGGTTTCTCTGAATGTGGTAGTGCCTTCTACAACAGAAGTGGTCCCTTCAGATGGTGAAGTAGCTTTCTCAGAAGTGATCTCAACTGGGGTCACTCCAACTGTAGTGGCTTCCCCAGTCACTGTACTTCCTTCTTCTGATGCTGTACTTTCATTAGATCCTGTAGTTGCCTGTCCAGCTGATGAGGTGACTTCAGCCTCTTCAAAAGTGGTTAGACCAGAGGAGCCAGATGAGGTTGCTCTTGCTTCAGTACCTGTCACACCTAATGTTGAAGTGGTATCTTCATATTCAGAGGTCACTGTTCTTACTGCACTACTTGTGTTTTCTTCTTGAGAAGTGTCTGTGGCTCCCAAGCTCGTAAGATCTTCTCCAGTTGTGGCCATCTCTCTCTTAGAAGTTAATGCAGCTTCCAGAGTTGTGACAATGGTTTCTCTGAATGTGGTAGTGCCTTCTACAACAGAAGTGGTCCCTTCAGATGGTGAAGTAGCTTTCTCAGAAGTGATCTCAACTGGGGTCACTCCAACTGTAGTGGCTTCTCCAGATAATGTACTTCCTTCTTTAGATGCAGTAGTTCCACTAGATTCTGTAGTTGCCTGTCTAGGTGATGAGGTGACTTCAGCCTCTTGAATAGTGGTTACACCAGAGGAGCCAGATGAAGTTGCTCTTGCTTCAGTACCTGTCACACCTAATGCTGAAGTGGTATCTTCATCTTCAGAGGTAACTGTTCTTACTGCACTACTTGTGCTGCCCTTTTGAGAAGTGATTGTGGCTTCCATGCTTGTAAGACTATTATCTCCAGTTGAGGTATACTCTGAGCCAGATGATGTTGCTCTTGCTTCAGTACTGGTCACGTCGGATGCTGAAGTGGTAGCTTGATCTTCAGAGGTCACAGTTCTAACTGCAGTGACTGTGTTAACCTCTTGAGAAGTGGTAGATCCTCCTGCTGCCTCAGATGTTCTCATCAATTTTGTCGATGTACTACCTCTAGAAAGTAATGTTGTGGTTTCAGGTCCACTTATTCCTCCTGACGAAGATACCTCTAACCCTGATGTTACATTAGTAACACCAAGATTATTAAGAGTGGTGGCCTCTTCAGAAACTGTAGCGCTGTCATCTCCCCGAGTGGTTGCCATCCCTTGTTCTGTTGTACTTTCATCAGCTTTAGTAGTTCCTCCAGCTGCCAAAGTAGTCACTTCAGCAACAGTGGTAAATGTTCCAGTCACAGCAAATGATGACATTTCTGCTTCCTCTAATGTAGTAAAGATTGGAATAAACTGAGTGGTGATTTCTGAGAAGTCGGTAGTTAATCCTCCAGTTGCAGCTGTTGATAACATTGTCCTTATAGTTGATACTAGCTGTTGTTGCTCTGTAGTTTGAGATATGGTCGATTGATCACCAAGGGTTGTTGCTCCTTGGGGACCGTCACTGACAACAGTCGTCTGACTCTGAAAAGTTGTACCAAGATTTCCTGCCTCAGTTGTTTCCATGACGCTGGAAGTTGTAACTGAAGTTGGCAGAAAACTGGTCTGTTCTGCAGTATCTGGTGACCCTGTTCCACCACCTTTGGTTGAAAAAGAGTGCGATGTTTGTCCCAATGTGGACCCAACCTCTGATTCAGTTCTCTCTGTTTGTATTGCACTTGATCCTGACTCTTCAGTTGTTCTTGCTGATGACAAATCAGTAGATGCTGTGTTTCCACTTGCTGTACTACCTGCCTCTGTAACAACTGTGCTTTGTGGATTGGGTGTTATTTCACCAGTAGAAGATGGCTCTGTGCCTACAACAGTTGGACTTGTTGCAGGATCACCTGTGGATATTGAGGTGGGCTTAGAGGCCCCTTGAGTACTAGGTCTACCCTCTGGAGAGGTCTCCGGAACACTTTCTGTTGTCACTATAGTAGTCGCTGATGAGGTAGACATAAGACGAGTACTTGTAGAGCTGGCAGGCACATTTTGAGTAGTGGACATTGATATTGTGGTAGCTCTTGCTGAAGTCGTGGCAGGTTCTGTATTTGGTAGCGTTGTGGAAGTATCAGGCATTTGGGTGGTAGTTACTGGTAGTGTCCTTGTACTTGGGGGTTGAGTGGTAGTTGCTGGTTCTGAAGTGGTACCTGCTGATTGAGTGGTAGTTGCTGATTGGGTGGTGGTACGTTCTGGTTGAATGGTTGTTGCTTGTTGAGTGGTGGTACCTAGCGATTGAGTGGTAGCTGATGGCTGTGTGGTGGTACCTTCAGGTTGAATGGTAGTTGCTGGTTGTGTTGTGGTACCTGGATGTTGAGTGGTAGCTGCTGGGTGTGTGGTGTTACCTTCAGGTTGAATGGTAGTTGCTGGTTGTGTTGTGGTACCTGGAGGTTGAGTGGTAGCTGCTGGCTGTGTGGTGGTACCTTGAGGTTGAATGGTAGTTGCTGGTTGTGTTGTGGTAAATGGAGGTTGAGTGGTAGCTGCTGGCTGTGTGGTGGTACCTTGAGGTTGAATGGTAGTTGCTGGTTGTGTTGTGGTACCTGGAGGTTGAGTGGTAGCTGCTGGCTGTGTGGTGGTACCTTGAGGTTGAATGGTAGTTGCTGGTTGTGTTGTGGTACCTGGAGGTTGAGTGGTAGCTGCTGGCTGTGTGGTGGTACCTTCAGGTTGAATGGTAGTTGCTGGTTGTGTTGTGGTACCTGGAGGTTGAGTGGTAGTTGCTGGTTGTGTTGTGGTACCTGGAGGTTGAGTAGTAGTTGCTGGTTGTGTGGTGGCATCTGGAGGTTTAGTGGTGGTACTTGGCGGTTGTGCAGTGGTACTTGGTGCTTGAGTTGTGGTTGATGGAGGAGTTGGTGCTGCAGTCGTAGGCCCTGGAATCAGAACAAAATAGTCAATCAATTCGCAGTTCTTTGACATGTCATATTTTCAAGTACACATTAAAAGGAAGAAGTGTGGGACAATGTTAAAGATGAAGTTGAGTACTGGTCATGCGATTGCATTGTGAAAGAAACGGTGTGGAACCGACCAGAAAAGGTTGATCATCTAGCATATAAGAATCTGTGTGTATTGCAAGGTTCTGGAATCATCAAAATGATAAGAAATTTGGCCAAGTCTCGGTAAAGTTACAAACACTTGCACAGAAAGATGTATATGGGACTACACGAACATGTGGCGTAAAAAGCCGGCCCCCCGATTTTTACGATGTTACATGCATATTTAGAATATGAAGGCATTTGAAGAGCCATGCTTTTCAGGGAACATGTCTTACCCGATGTTCTTCCACACTTGCATAATAAGAATGAGTAATGCTCACAAATTATTTTTCACGTCTTCCCAGAACTCAACCTTCTCTTTAAATAATTGAAATATCAAGAATTATCCCACTCTATATATTGTCAATTTACAGCCACAAAAGCATTTCCGTTTAACAGTGGCTCCAAATAGACAATAGAAGAAGTTTTTCAGCTTGCATTTGTAAAGAAAATCAACTAGGTCTTTGGAAAATTCCCAAACTTGCCAGGTCAAAGGGGGTTGGTTCAACTACTTCAACAGAAATTCATTTTGCCAATTTTAGTGCTGCACTAATCAAGTGCCAATAATTTTATAAATGTAAACATAACAGAAACTGCCCCTTCATCACATGTATCTTCCCACTGTTTTTTACAATGAATCAAAAACTTACCAATTTGACATATGACACCACTGTAGCCAGGAGGGCAGAGGCAGAAGCCAAAGGTCTGGAAGTCCACACAAGTACCTCCATTGAGACAAGGAATAACTGCACAAACATCCCAAGCTGTAAGCAAAAATTCAAAATGTCATCTATGTGCTACAAAAGAATGTCTAAATTCTTATCATCATTATCATTATTTTTATTACTATTATTAATGTTATTATTGTTATTATCATTATTATCATTATTATCTGAAATTATAAACGGCGCTTTGCAAGTAAGTAAATAAAAAATGTGGAAACAATATATGCGTATTGTGATGGTGGTGACAATGGTTTCAGAATCTTTGAAAGGCATTTACATAGACACAGTTATACTAAGTTATAAATATTATCAAATGATGAAGGTATCAGCAAAGATGCTTTTCACATTTTCCCTCTTGAATGATACTTTTTGTTTCACTGCTTTATGATGAAAATACATTTGCATTTGATATCTTCAAGTAGCTATTACAAAGCACAGATTAGTACAGACACGATTACATCTGCCCCCACCACCAGGGAAACTTCACCCATTTGAAATTTAGTAAATGAAACAAGAAAATGTTGAAATTGCAAAATGTCTCATTACATTATTCATCACTTCAATCATGAAGATGATATTTGTTTTAATTAAAGTAGTCACCCAAAGAATCAAAAGTGCTTTGAATCAATGCAAAATTCAGATCATTGCGAAGGGGAAGCCAGCATTACTGATCAAATATAACAACTTCCCTCTTCAAAATATGTCATTTCTCAAAAATGCTAATTTTGAGATCCAGATTGTCTGCCTTCAGCGATCCTCTCTAGAGCGTCAAGATTCATGACGTCACATGCAAGACACAGCTAGCAGATTCGTTCATAATTATCAGTTGTCGTGAATTTTCTTCGGGTGACTATCGTACTTTAGCATATCCAATTCAAGAAACTTGTTTTTCTTCATTTTTTTCTTTTTAAATATTTTTTTTAATCAGATAGCAGAAAGATGGTATAGCGTGCAGTGGGCTCTAAAGTGTCCTCATCATTGAGGAGATAAAGGTGTGACTTACGTGTTTCACAGTTAAGGCCCGTCCACCCTCTGTCACACTGGCAGTCATAGGAACCATTGGTATTCATACATGTCCCTCCATTTAAACACGGAGCACTAGCACACTCGTCGATGTCTACAAAGCAAGCAGGAAAGAAATATACAAGGTATCTGTCACCATGAGAAGCAAAGAAGATGCACAGAAAATGCCCAGATACTGCAGATTACAAACAACAATGTACCAAAATGGTATGGTTATTACGACACTGGTTCAATGTAATGCCATATTCATTCCGATAACAAATGTTGAGTTCTTGTAATAAAAAACAACTGTTTGAGAGAAAGTTGCTACATATACAATTAATTGGAAGTAGTATCATCTCAGAATTGACAAAAAAATTTAACTCTGTTTCATTGACAATCAGCTATGCATGAAGTCTTTCGTCTATGGCTGATCTTCAATGAAACGGAGTTAAGCCTTTTGTCACTTCCGTTTGTTGCTACTGCAGGCAGCCAATGAAAATGAATTTGTTTAATCAAATTATGGAAATGCATGCACTACTTTAAACAAACAGAATTTTGTAAATCCTAGCTCATTTTTCCTGATTAAGGTGTCATATAAAAGGGCAGAAACTGAACTTTCAAGAAATTTGATTTTCTCTTTGAAATTCAGATACCGTCCGCCAAATGATTTATGGGTTTCCTCTCTTCAAATTGATTTTAATCACTCATGCGTGAAATATGCATCACATGAGTTGCATCACATGAAAGAGGAGGATCTAAGCTTTACAAAAATGTGTCATTTATTAATTATCATTATGATTAAGTTATGATAAAACATCAATAATTCTCAGTTTCGTTTTTTCTGGGACGCACTGTATAGGACTTGGATATCCATTATCATTACCTGCGTCACAGAGAGTACCAGACCATCCTGTAGTACACTCGCATCTGAATCCATCAATCTCATCCACACACTGTGCTCCATTCTGACAAGGGCTGCTGAAGCACTCATTCACATCTGAAAGATAACAATTAGAATTAATGTAAAAACGCATGGCAGCTAAGAAAAAAATAAATTTCATGAAAAAAAAGTTTGATTAAGACATCAAAAAGTTTGATTTTGATATATGTAACAGTTGATAAAAACACTATGAACATCTATGCCCCAATAAACTGTTGCTAGGTAGGACAAACATTATGGATTGCTCTACCTAACAACACGTAATGCATGCAATTTGCTTTCTCACTACCAGTATTGAAATGGCAGTTAACAAAAATTTGTGCAATAAATTTGATTACATTATGAAATGGCCAATTTGGCAAGAGCTGCTGGTGCACTCATTCATGCCTGTAGAAGAATAATTATCATGCGTGTCATGCGTGTCAAAACATAAATCATCTAGTACTCTTTTTTTTTATTAAAGAACATAATGATTGGTTAAGCTCTGGAAATTGTTTTGAAAGGATATCTAAAAAGAGGACCTAGGACTTTAAGTCCTCTCCAAGGGACTTGGTTTGAAACCTAGGACCTTCCAGTTACAAGACCCATGGTCTCCAACTGAGCGAATCCCTCAATTGTTTGAAATGAAATTTAAGGTCATGATGTCCTATAGTTATGATATTTGTATTTACTTATTTATTTTTAATCTTTTGTTTATAAACACAAATAAGTTGAATCTAGAATTATTAATAAATCCATCTATTGCAAGTTAGGTAGTAAGTTCAGGGCTATGAGGGCTATAGATTACACATTCCGTATACTGTCAAATAGAACATCTGGGTGAATGAAAGCAGAAAAAAATTAGAAAAGCAAAACATTTTACATGTAACTCTTCCTCATTCCACACGATGCAGACACCAATAATTACTTCTTTCATTTTTACAAAATCATGTGAAAACGATTTTTTAATGTCTGTTCCTATTCATCCTGTTTTACATTAGCACTAATGAGCATCAACCATTGTGTAGATTTTGGTTTGGTAGCTCATTTGGCAGACCAGCTAATATCAGGGTAAGAACAATAAAGTACAGCCATTAGAAACATAAGTATCAAGTGATATTACTGCTTTATAAATGTTACTACTATTACAATTTATTATTTTTGGTAAAATTGCATTTGTCATACTCAAATATGTGCAAGACTGTGCCATTCAAACCCCAACGCTCACAGCAGAATGCAGTCAATTACCTGATTCACAGGTGGTCCCAGCATATCCAAGAGGGCAGATGCATTCAAAGGTTTGACCAGTCGCGTCCTCGGTGCAGGCGCCTCCATTCTGACATGGGTCACTGCTACAAGGTCTCACATCTATAGGAAGAGATTTTTACAAATGTAGAGAATCACTTTAAAATATTACTTGTGATGATGCAAAAGGGTATTGGCACTTGTATTTTGCAAGGGAATTCTTATTTTATATAACTATTATGACTCGGTTATAAAACAGTGGCCTAATGGCAAATGAAGCCTGCAAGATGATTTGATAGGCCTAATAAAAAAAATTGAGTAAGAAGCAAAACATGAGAAGTTGATAAACTCCATTTTTATGCCAGAAGTAGATACATAATACACTATCACTACCATATATGAAAAAAAGTCTGAATTTTACTTGTACCCTTTGCTCGCTTGCAAGCAGCCACTCATTATTATCTTTTATCATATTCTACAATGTATGATTTGAATAACAATATTACTAGCAATAAGGAACACAGAAAGATGAAAGTTTTCCAGGAATAAACTAGAGGCCTAGAGGGGATGGGTGATTGTCAGTTTTCTGCCACACCTAGATGGGCCGTTGGGGTGTATTTTTAATACTCAATGCCCCTTAAGATCCCTTACTATTAATTATAAGTAATTATCGAAATATTTATGTACTGTCTGACAAATTATTCAACAGCCCCCATAGTATTTTTGTAAAGAGCTTAGAGACATTTGTATTAAGCGTTATATACAAATTAAATATTATTGTTATTATTACTATTATATTGTGAATTCCCTAGTCCAAGTTCCTTCTGTATGGCACATGCTGAGATACAGACCGACATGAGGTGTAAAAGCCTTGCTGTATTTGTCCATTTTTTAAATACTTTTAGCATAATGCATATGCCTGAATACACACAACTTGTCCTCACCGGTCAATTATCCTAATTTTATTACCTGGGTTTGTGTATAGTATGGAAGCCATGTATTAAATGCACTATGCCAGTCTGTTCAGGTGTACAAAATGTCAGATAACAAGACTATCAATTGGGAAGAGAGTCTAGGAGGGATTCCAAACTTTTTCTCTTTATTGTATTCGTGTTGGCACTTCTAAGAACTGATAGAGCAATTAATTCTAAATGTTAACATCTTTCAATATATAAACAATAACTTCAAAACAAATGACAGCTCCACGCAGGCACCATGTAATGACCACTGCTTAATTCTTTAGTGCCTAGCTTTATGTAAATCGAGGTTATGCTTTGAATGAAACTGTAGACTGTATGCAACAAAGTAATCTCTTTCTATAGTTATTCAAAAGTTATTATCTTTATTTGATCTGCATCATCAGTTAGAGAGAATCTGTTTTCTTGACTATTCAATTGCAAAGTCCTTTGAAAACCGGAATGCAAATAAATTGCTTCAAAGTTTTGTCTTCAAACAGCTACTGTTACATTATTGAAACTGTCTGACAGGTCCCACTTCTAAGATGTTCTCTTTCAAAAGTGTTGTCTTTGAAAGTTTTGAACACTGTCTTCCTGATGCTACAAAGTTTAATAAATCAAGTTAAAATCAACCATTAAACACGGCTTGCTGTGTTTCGTACAAATCAAATTAACTTGACTCAGGTGACCTTTGTTCACCCTAGTCCTGGTGCATAAAGAAATGGATTTCAACAAAACTCCAAAAATTAAATAGAGTTCGATTCTGACCAAAAATCAAACTGCATTAACGTTCTTTACTTTGTTTTGTTCAAAATACAAAGGGCTAATGATCTAAGTTAGTCGAACACAAGATCCTTGAATCTATTGATCAGAACAGTTTGCGTTCAATCACAGCTCTATGCCCTCAAGGTTTGGATGTCTCTCTATTCATTAACTGGAACATTCTCATGAACCCCTACAGGGTTCAGGAATTCCAGAATGATATAGGGATCTACAGAGAAGAGTAGACATAAATATATTATAGGAACTATTACCAACTCAAAGTAATGACTAATGACTAGGTACCAAGTATACACTGCAAGTACAAAGAAGGTAGCGAGTTGGCTCAGTCGGTAAAGCGTCTGCCTGTCGAACCAATGATCTCGGGTTCGAATCCCACCCAGGCGGATGACTGAAGCCTGTGTTGTGTGTAAATGTGCCCCTCCCCTTGTTTAATAGACGGGGGCTATGTTAAGTGGAAAACACCCCGTCCCTCGGATAGGATGTTAAATGGAGGGCCCCGTGTACAGAAGAGTCACCCCCCTTGCATGTTAAGAACCCACTGCACTTTTTGTTTAAGAGTAGGGGAAAAACCCGTGTAGTGGTCCACCTGCACACCCCAATTTGGCCGAGTATACAGCATCTGCAAGAATCTTCAGTATTGAAGAGGGCAGATTATCTTGAAGAAGAAGGTTCAACTACAAGTGACAATACAGGATATGAATATGAAGGAATAGTATAAAGAGGGAATGTATTAATGCAAGTCTTTAAAATTCTTTTTGCTTATCTTCTTTTTCCAGTCTGGTACAGTTTGCATATTACCGTTCCTCATACTTATCAGGTACCAAGTATACAGTGCAAGTACAAAAAGTTTGAATTCCGACACGGCACTAATATCCTTTGGCAAGATATTAACCTGCACTTGCTACTCTCCACCCATGTGTTAAATGGGTACCCGATAGGATGTGACCGTTATTGTTGGTCAAACAGTTTTTGAGCATCAAGTAATGCCTGGTTGAAATGCCCCCCAGGGAGTGGAGATTGTGCATAGTGTGTGCAGGCAAGTATTGAATCCAATGACCGGGGTAATAGTATATATCTGTAAAGCGCTTAGAGACATCGTAGGTGTATTAAGCGCAATATAAAAGTGAAACATTATCAACAAATGACAGATAGCACAATAAAATTGAGTGTGTTTCATCTACCGTTTGAGAGCTAAAATATTAATTTATTCACTTACCTATTTCACATCGAGATCCACTGTAGCCTGCAGCGCACAAGCAGAAGTAGAAGTTTGGGAAATCGAAGCAGGATGCACCGTTCAAGCAAGGGTCACTGGCACACTCGTCGATATCTGCAAGAACAGGTGAATATAGCCAGAGAAACAGTATTACCAGGACACTGCTGGGATGGGTTAGTAGTAGTCTACATGATCTGTTCCTTAAGTCCCTAGACATACTAATGGCACCACCAATCACTTCCATTGGTGACCTACACCCGCTTCAAGGTATGGTAAGGGTCAGAACGTGGGTCATGTTGGGTCTCTTTCGCCGTGATGACCTCTACAGTAAACGGTGTACTTGCTGCTTTACGCAATACTAGTAGCAGTACACTCCCACAATAGAGTAGTGTTATACTGTGCAAAGTCAGCGTGGATATGCAGGGCCAGGGGCGGCGTCATTGTAACCATCACTACTCAATGCGCATGAATGGGTGAGAAGAGTAAAGCTGGAAGCTGTGGGAAAACTTCCATTGTAGGAATCCCCCCTTGTGTTGACAAATCATGGTTGGATGATCGCATAGTACCCCTGACTGAAAGGGGACTTTGACAGCAGAATTATACATGAATGCTTCTTTTTTATCACTTTTTTGACAAAATTGAATTGTGTTCAGCTTTGCAGAAGTCGTGGGAATGCTTTCAAAATGTATGTCATGCCCTAACCGAGAGAGAGAGATTCTCTTTTAAGCTTGAATACCGGTACATTACTTTTTTCCAGCCTTAGACTTCAATTCATGCACAGTTTGACATCAGTGTCACTGACCTGAATTTAATTAAAGAAATCATGGATTCTTGTCAAACAATAAACATTGTTACTTTTTGTTTGTTGGATACACATATGGAGGTAAAGCATATCCTCTAAACAAAAACACTGAACTTTTTTCTTTCTTTTGTAGCTATCATAGCTACGATCATGTACATTTGTCCCCCAAAAACTGCTTCTTGATTTGATTTTATTTTAATTTGGATAACTGCCGATAGAGTTGGATCAGGAACTTATGGTGTTTTCTAAATGGCAAATAAAGTTCTTGGTGGTTTTAATTTAGAGAGTCTCTATATATCTATTTACACCCCTCCCCCCCCCCTCTTGAGTCCCAAGGATTTCCACGGGTACTGCTACATGTTTATATTTCCTTTAAATTCTGTATCCCTATATTGCATCCAAAGTTCCACTATTAGAACACAGTATGGTAGGATGCACAAGCTGATAGATATATTATCCAGCTCTAACAAACAGTATTGCACTTTACCTTTTACAGTGCACAATCTACTTCATACTTCAAAGCAAGAACGTGACACACAGAAAGTGCTGTAGAGATCCTTCTAAGATGGTTTTTGTTGCTTTTGTTCGAATTTGTTTGATTTGTTTCATTTTGTTTCGCTTTGTTTTGTTTTTTCTTCTCTTTTGCTTTCAATATCATTTTAATTCATGAAAGAAAAAAGGGGAAATCAAAGTTAGTCTAGGTTACTTGTTATCCAGAACAATGTACAAGACCATACCAAATTTTAAATGAGGAAGTGGATAGCATGAAAATCACTTTATTTTGCATCATCATTCATCAATTTAATTGTATGATTTTTCCTTTTGTCTCTTCCCCTTTTCCAAAGAACAATGAGACTTAACCTTGTATAGTTTGGTACACTACACATAAATGGTGATTTTCTATTCCATGCAAGTTTCCACGAGGATTAATTGCCTTAAATGGGATTCCCCTCTACATATGATAGCGTTGGAATTAACAGCGTGTCCAATGGAGCATCCAATAAATACATCTACCCCTCCACCCCTCCCCCATTGATAAGTCATAGAAAATGGGCAAGTGATTTCCTTTATTTGGTGACAATAAAGTCAATGAATTTTCACCTGATTTCATGAGAACTGGATGTAAGGATTGCAAAGCTTCGCTTCATCCATTCACATGCTATTGTAATCATGGACATTATACTATTGCGCAATAGTGTGCCATGCGTGTCTTGATTTTGTAAAGGATACTGGATAAACTCGGGATTGCAATTATTTCTCACTAGTTCCATGAATGAATTTTACATTTCAGTACAGGCTGAGCTGATCAGCTGGATGGGCAGGATTAAAACTTAGCACTTATGAATTTTATGTTCCGCAAACTCGATCCAAATTTAACTTTAATACAATACAATACAATAGAGTCATTTATGTAGCGCTCTTTCAAACTAACTGTTGTTTCACAGCGCTTTACATAAAAATTATCAAAGAATACGTTGTTGATCATGGTCAAAGAGGAGAGTTTTGAGACATTTTTGGAAGACATCTAGAAAAGGTGATAAACGAATAAAACGTTAAAACTGTCATTTAATAAATAAAGATGGTCTTTGACTGAAATGTGTTTTTCTTGGCACATCTTGATGATCTGAGACAAAATTTGTCCTGCTAGATAAGATACACTGAACATCTTCCTTAATTCCAATGTGCCAATTACTTTAACTGATATTCTATTAACATTAAACAAAAACCTCATGAGAAACGTAAGTTCTATTGTGATGGCTAATGTTAAACACTCATGAATGTACACATTAAAATGAAAAAAATGAAGAAAATATATTTTCTCTTTAGTTTTGACCCCTGAAGTTTTCAAACAGTGTGACTTTCTATGGAAATGAATGCATGTCTAGTCCACAGAGTAGGTCTACAGGATAACAAAAGGTTTATTAAGGGAGTGTTATCAAGTCTCGGCAACTACACTACAGTCTATAGCCCATGTCCCTTGGGCTATTGTTTCTCAAGGAAATAGGTAACTGCAGTCTTTCAACTGACCCCACAGATTCAACTAGATCTAGATCATCTAAGTAGATTTTGTCAGGCCCTGTATTTTGTTTAGATTAGTCTTTTTTAATTTATCAAATTTAAATTTAAACTTTCAACCAAAGCACAGATATTGATCATTGGTATATCAGCATTGGTTCCGCTTTACCTGATCTTGGATTCATGCACAGAGACCATTGATTACTTTAAAGGTTCAGTAGACCCTATATAGGCCTACACACAAAACATTTCTGGGCTTTGCTGACTGAGCTGGGAGCCTTGGAAAGAGTCAAGGAAATTCCATGAATCTTCCCACCCCAAATATGGAACATTCAGTACCTATAAGTACTATTTGTGGTACCACAAATATTCCATAACAATCTTAAAATGGTAATACAATGTTATTAAAGATAATTAATCACCCTGTAGATCTATCTGTATGCGTAGAAATTAAAACAAATTGAGAGCTGTATGGATCAGTATCATAGAATTCAACAAGTGGGACTGAACATAGGCATTTGCAATGTGGACAACGCTAGAAATGTTACGTGGAAACATTTCACACCTTCCATTGATCATTAAAGAGATTATAGCATATAATAGTTGTTTAAACAACCTTTTAATACTTAACAACATAATGAGGAATACGTTGGCTATAGTCAACTAACAAATTATTTTTAAAAAAATCAACGATGACTCACTCTCACTGCAACAAATTTTGCCTGTACCGAAGACTAATAATACACCTGTTTCTTCATTAGCTTGTGCGCTTGCGTGGCTGGCAAAACTTTCAACCAATCACAAGAGCTTTGTTTGAACTAATTGTAGCATCGAAATTTCACCAGAAAAATTATATATTAGGTATGGTTTTTTCTTACCGGTTTCGCAGTTGGCTCCAGTATAACCAGGCGGGCAGATGCACACGTAAGATGTACCGTCGATCCAGGGGAAGCAGACGGCGTCATTTTGGCACGGGTTGCTCAGACAGGGAGATGCACCGTCTGCAAAAAGCAGAAAGCAGATGAAGAATGAACAATGACTGAGAAAATATGAATTTTAATCTGGTATTCTGGATCTATTCCACCTACTGATTTTTTTTCTTTCTACCCCGTCCTTACCAGGACATCGCCCCTACTGCCTAGTGTTTGTTTGTTTGCTCGTGCATTCACGATTTGTTGTTGTTTTTTTCAGGACAAACAGCTGGAAACATCCTCCTATACAATGATAACATTGCCTTCATGTATAAGTTTAAAAAATAAAATAAAAATAAAATAAAAACACACTTTGGAAATGAGAGTAAGGACGTTTGTAGGAAGGTGTGGACAGAAATAAATCAAACTTTGCATGTCTCGACTATACGTTCAAGTAAAATGTCATTTTCGTTAACTTAAATAGTTTTAATGGTAGCACGTTATTAGCACCTACTAGCATTTTTTTTTAATTCATTATGTTTCCTAAATAATAAAGTATAAACAAGTCTTTCTCTGCTTCCACGCATCTCTACCATATGCAAAGTATCGATAAAAATAATAAAAACATCGAATATCCACTTTTCAAACGAGTGCAAAAATAATGAATAAATAAACAGCGAGCTACCCGTGAAATTCCAGGCCAGGAGGGCCATTGGATAGTCAACGACCGATATCACTGTATGTTTTGGGGGCACAACCTACTCTGCCCCTTTAAAGCCAGCACGGCTTTAGCTAACAAATCTCTTCCCCTCCCCTTTTTTTAATAAAAAGGAACCTGAGACATGCGATACTTTTCTTTTACCTGGTCTATGTTTTCGGAAATTTAACAGGGGCATTGGATATTCAACGACCGATATAACTGTCAGCGTTAGAGGCAAAACAGTATGAGAAATGTGATACTTTTCTTTTCCTGGTCTATGATTTTTTTCGGAAATTTGACGACCCAATTTTACTAAAACCCTGAAGCCGCCCCTTGACCTGAATATCACCTGAATAACTTGACCAATCAGGGAACTGGGAGTGTTACCAATACTGTAATGACCATCTCGCTTGAAACAGCGTTAGTGATGCGTAGATAGGCGGTAGATTCAAATCCTATTACCAGCACTAAACAGTGACGTAGCAAGACATAAATACATTTTAAAACAGGGTAATAATGTTATCTGACGGGGAGAGTGACTGACTGTCTGCGCTTACGAAGATTTTAAGTTTTTTCTTTCTTTCTTCTTTCTCCTTTTTTTTCACATTCTTTTTCTTCTTTTTCATCTCATCCTTCTTCTTTGTCGTTATATTCTTCTACTTCTATTTCTTGACCCTCAAACTGGGCGGGGCGTATACGAGGTCTAACATAGTAAAGGGAACGCAAATGCTAATAAAGGAAACACTGCTTGCACTATGTAATATTACATTATTTCCACAAGATGTCCCTTGCATACACTACTCTATTGGAATCATCATACAAACAAAACTCAAGTATTGCTAAGACATACCCCTTGTGCTCTTTCTCGAGTTGTATAATACAAACAATGCTTGGATAGTAAAACCTATTCTCCATATTCACAATCAAATGTCAAAGCGAAACAAACGGAGCTTTCTTTATTTGACAGAGGGTTTATCGTGAGAACTCCTTCTGTGTTTCTATAATGAAAAACAAAATGCTTTCTTTTGGAATTCAGTAGGTCTTAGTGTCCCCTATTCAGCCTCGTCTATTCAAACATTGAAATAAGAGGCCTCGGAAATAGTAGGCATTGTTTGAACTACAATGGAGGGTAGCTTACTGCATGTGGTGAGGTGTACACTGATTTATTTCGGTTTCAAGACTGGTGGAAAAGGATGAAGGATTTATCTTGAATTAAAAAGAGGAAAACCTATCTGTTATAAGAATCGAGAATTTAGGCCAAGTAAAAATAAATTTTTGTAGTTTCACGTCCAGATTTTTCGAAAATGAGAAGGAGGCGGTCGAATGACATTTTTTATCTGACATTTTTTTCTGATATTTTTCAAATTTAATTTATACATGCACTTCAGAGGCTGAAAACAGGGTGGAGAGGCAGTACATTGATGTTTTTCAAGATTTCCTCAGATTCTTAATTTATTTCTATTTCAGAACAAATATATCAAATAACGAAATAGATAAATAAGAGAACAGGGAAACAAGGGAACGAGAGAACGAGAAACTAGAAATTACACCTTATTTCGTCTTATTGAAAAGAGTGGTACAAGAATCATCTGCGGATTATTTTCCTTCATTACAACAAGAACTATCGCTCCTACTGCAAATATCATAATTACTTAGCAGTCTTAGTGACTTCGATGACGACGTCTACTACTGCTGCCGCTGATACTAGTAGAAGTACTACTTCTACTACTAATGATAATAACAATTATTACAATAATTTGCTATATTGAAGATGACTGTAAAGGTCGCTTATCTTGCTAAATATGCTTTTCCCGTGTAGATACACGTGTAAATCTGTTTCTCTTTTTAAACAAAACTCTCAATCTGGTACTAAGTCGACTCCCATTTAATTTCTTTTTAAGTGGCAACGGGAAGCAATAACAAAAAGATTGTTATAAAGCTCATTATAACTTGTAACGAGGGAGAAAGACATTAAGCTGTCTACGTCTTATACGGGAGTGAAAGACATCGGGGGATTGAGTGTGTTTGTAAAGGACAAAAGAGCTGGTGAGGATTTGATAGGCGAAGTTGATTTACTTTAAAAAAGTAGTCTGTGGTGGAAATAATTTTACACTATATATACACTCCAATTTTTTTAAGCTAGATTAATTTAAATTTCATGCTTATGCTTCATGCTTTGTATTTCGAACTTTTTGAAATTGCCCCGATTGTACATATCTGACGTTAATGGCTCATTGACTCAAGCTGTGTGCTAGAACTGCGAACATAGGCGCAAGGGCAATGGGGTGGGAGAGTGGCTGACGTCACTTGCCCAAATACCAAAAATGACTACTTTATCATAATAGTTACAATTGTCTGCAAAATAGACTACGTAGAATTTAAGTTTTAAATAGACCACGTCGCTGCCTAAATATGAGGTGCAGGCTGCCTGAATGTTGGTAAAAAATAACATTTTCTAGGGCGGCAGCTCCCTTCCCCTTCCTCATACGCCTAACTTTGCATCACCTTTAATAAGGGAGTTTACAAATACAATCTGCACATGGGCAGATAAAGGTCATTTGTACCAAAATGATAAAACCCACAAAGATGAATACTGGATATGCGCTAATGAAAGTTATGTAACATTTTTCATTTATGCACCAACGGTGCATTCTATGATACGCAAGTGGAAGTATTCTTTTCAAGAGGTCAAACAAAAGGTATTCATGAAGCACATCTAGGCCTTTGGCAGTTATTATTCTAAGATGCTCAAAGTGGAACTTCTCGATGTGTAAAAGATCTGTGTATATTTGGGGTTATTTTGTACCATGTGCTATCTGTAAACTTCCTTATCCAGTGACCTTGATTTAGGGCGCGTTCATGCCTGATTTTGAAGCCAGAATGAGCGATTTGTAACGCTCATCGTAAACGCTCATCGTAATCGCAGTTCCACGGTGCACTGTTCATGCTCACTTCTCCAGGCAATTCTCCTTGGGTGGCCTTCAGCTGGATTCGCAAACCTGTGTGCGCATGCTACGAAGACCCACTAGAGGTCAGTGCGTTGACCCCATTTAAACGCGTTTACAAATTGTAAACGTATCTTTTTGTGAGTTTACGATCGGCGATCGTGATCGCCGTTTTTCGGTGATTCTACAAAAGTGAGCATGAACGCAATCGTGTTTTAAACTAAACGCGTAACAGATGCCTGATTCTGGCCGTCAAAATCAAGCATGAACGCGCCCTTAGATTGATCAGCCACAGGAATGCGCAGTATGTCATCTCATTATGCAGCATCAAACAAAACTTTGATTGTGCTTCCAGAAAATAAAAGGAAAGTAGGACCAACTACTGTCTGTTTATACTACTGGAGTACTTGTATTCGCCGGAGTTGTGTGCATGAAAAGAAAGATTTGCTGATCACAATGGTAAATAAAGTACAATAATTCATTGTGTTTAGTCAACTTTTGCCGCCAATTCGATTTTATATGCGAAAACTCTACTGAAGAGATGTAATGTAAGAGCCCATGAGATGTGAGCTGCACACGTTTGCTGGTTAGATTTCACTTTCATGAAAAGGAATCAAGAAATAATAAATGTTGGAAGTATTTTGCAAAATATATACATGAACACGATTAGGACAGAAAGCACAGTTCGGTCTGATGTTGAGGCCTACTTCACAGGTAAATTGTCTCTTTGTGAAACAATCGTTATTTAGGCTTATAACAAGTCTTAGTAATCATATTAATGCAATTATGCAATAACTGCCAGTTCCACATCACATTAGGCTACTCGATCATGTCGATGAGACCACTTGTAGTTAGGCGATGACATATTTAATACGTTTGTAATCATTTTACAGCATTCCGATATAATATTATGGAGTTCATATTGTAAACATCATATGTTGCTGTGTTAGGCAATCATTGGGCTGGAGCTAGCTGTATATCAAAACTTCATATAACTTCCCTGTAATGATGTGATTTTGTTTAATTTCATAGTAAGAATGAAGATTGCGTGCAAAATACGTTGTTGCTGCTATGATAGCCAATCCTCGGAAAACTTTAGGTTCATCAAGAAAAATGATTACGGGGGGAAATGGGTTTCATACCAGTGGAAACATTTAGGGGGACATAACCCCCCCCCCCCCACCCCCTCACACACTCAGCTAATACAATTTGCATAAAATACCTTAACACGGGCTAAGGAAGAGCCATAGATTAGAATGTGAAGGTCAAAGGCGAAGGTCAAAAGGAATATGTATTGTCTTCATTAGTCTACGTGTATGTTAGCGTTCATGAACGGCATTATCATTAACACTGGGGTGTTGGCCCACAGGTGTTCCATGGCCGCGTGGTTTACAGCGCTCGACTGGAGATGCGAAGGTCATGGGTTCGAATCCCGACACGGCACTAATATCCTTTGGCAAGATATTAACCTGCATCTGCTACTCTACACCCATGATTTAAAATGAGTACCCGGTAGGATGCTCATTTTAATACCTGTGCCCGGTAGGATGCGATTGTTGGTCAAACAGTTTTTGAGCGTCAAGTAACACCTGCATGGCTGGAATAATCCCCAGGGAGTGGAGATTGTACACAGTGTGTGCGGGCAATTATTGAATCCAATGACTGGGGTAATAGTATATCTGTAAAGCGCTTAGAGACATCGTAGATGTATCAAGCGCTATATAAAAGCGGAATATTATTATTATTATTATTATTATTATTATCAAGTGATTGAAGGATCAAGATCAAATGATTGAAAGATCAACATCAATTTTTACTCCAAATGGCTTTTAATATTCATTGTTAAGATCATTTAAATCTGTAGCTTCTTCCCTGTAGAGTTTATTGTATGTGGTTCCCTAAAATTTGAACAAGTGTTATTGAAGTAATCTCCAAGACAATATTTATATTAGAAATATACAAGAGTCGTCGTTTGCCTGACATAGCACTCCGTCAATGATTGTCCCGGCCTTTGACGCACCACGAGAGAGTAATAACGTACAGAAATTACTGCGAATGAAAAGTGCAAGCGTTGTTTTTAATTACTGGCATGTTTTCTACTACTTTTCTTCACAGGTTTGATTAGCGCAGGCAATAGGGACTTTTAGATTTGCGTGGACTGATACGTGTGACGTCCATTCAAGGCAGTGCACTAAAAGGACGTCGATCGTAGCAATCCACGTTGTCGTTGTGCAAATCTAAAAGTCCCTAATGACGCAAAGAGAATGACGCCTCATGGACAATGGGCTTGAGAGAGCAGTCGATTCGTGGTCTTAATTTTTTCACCCTCTCTTTTTAATTTACGTTTAAATGTATCACCCACTGAATTTCACATAATTGATTAAGACAGTTTTTTGTCACATTATCTTATACTGTCATGTTATCATATCTTGTCATGTTATATTATCTTGAAAATGGAAGAAAATATATATATATATTTTTTTTTTTTTTAACGTGATACGAGCTTTAGGATCTCACACGTACAAGGAAAAACAAGTTTTACTCTGCAGTTTACTTAACCCGAATTATCTATATTGTAAAATCAAGACTCATTCATATTTAGTACTGCTCCAGTTTCCTTCAATGGAAAACTAAATGAATGAAAGAACTTTATGCAGCGTGTAGTGATATCCATATATTGAAGGTTGATGACTCATTCATTCGTTCTACCAAATGTAGCAAATCAATTCATTCATTCTTTAAAGAAACCGCGCCCATTTCGATCACAGTTTTACTACGACAGGGCTAATACATTCCTGCGGTCGGTCTTAAAATAAAATCGATTTCAGGAAGGGTAGGATAATCTAGCTTGGTCGCACGTGAGTGAAGGACATACAGAGGTGACAGGGGTATTGTGGAGTTCAGATTCACTGGGGTAATATGAGTTTAGAGATGATCTTCCAAATAAATTTATTTATTCAACATGGCCGCACAAGATTGATTGGTAATTATGATAGATTGGTAATTATGAGCCCCAAATTATCCAAACTTTAAAACGAAGTAAGCCTACGTCAAAACAGAGTGAATCGTTTTCACTCATCATTTAAAACAGACTCTTACATGCATCACGCATACACATAATATACCTTCCTTGGGAGAGAGGAAGAGAGAGAGAGAGAGAGAGAGAAGGAGAGAGAGAGGGAGAGAGAAGGGGAGAGAAAGAGAGATGGAGTAAAAAGGGAATAATAATAGGAAGAGAGTTGAGGGAGTAATAGTTAGAGAGAGGGAGGGAGAGAGAGATAACATATATGAAAAAAGAGAGGTAGAGTATGAAATAGAGAGAGAGGGAGAGAGAGGGGGGAGTAATAAAAGAAAGAGAGAGTGAAGCAAGAGACAAAATGATGAATTTCTAAAAACCCACGGAGATGTAGACCCTATATTAATCGTTTTTATACTAATCTTGCCTGCAGTCCCGTGTTGACTATCTAATTTAGATGTAAAAATAACGTGGTGAGAATTCAAACATAATTATGATTTAAACTTCAACGATATCCTGCCTCCCCCTATCTCTCTCTCTCTCTCTCTCTATCCCCTCTTTTTTTTCTTTCTCTCTTCCTCTCTCTGTCTTTATCTCTATCTCTTTCTCCTTTTACGGAGCAGGTCCTTATAGAGGGAAATGTTGCGATATTAGTTTTTTTCAAAGTCAAAGTCGTGTAGCTTATAATCGGAGAAAAAAAAACATGTTTACTATTCATTAGAAGTACACGTCGCCTTTTGATGGTTCTATAGCATGTGTCTCATCGTATCAATTTTGTATATGTAACAGACAGCCGACTTGTGTAAAGCTTTAACGCATTCAAATAAGAGGGATGGATCAATACGGATCGATACAATCCAAATGACTCGGCCACCAAATACACCCATGTGGGTTCACGCTCAGTGGGACAGCGAATACATACACTTACACGTACGTTACTATACCGTGTAAATCGAAGAGCTTTTTACTGATATCTAAATTAGCAGCTTACGAGACATGTATAGCGAAATTGATGTAGCTTATTGAAGATTGAGGATTATAAAGATTGCAGTAATAATATCAAGGGGACAGTCACAAACACGAGATACATGTATGTTGTAGATCTTTTCAGGAAAAATGTAATAATCATTTTGTTTATTCAGGTAAACCCCAAAGCCTCATCAGCATTTATCCTGTTCTTCCAGAGAACCATGCAATTATTATTACCCATGCAATTGCCAGGTACATTCTTTCTCAGCTCTCAGTAGAGTATTTTTGAGAGGTTTCTTTTACACTATTCACGAAGTAATACCTACCATCAAGACCGGTCAAATGCAACAATGGCAATAATAGGGGGAGTCTCCGTATTATAGTGATTCTAAAACGAAGAGAATAATCTTAATTCGCCGAGAGGTTTTTTCGATGCTTGTGTTATAGGGTTTCTGGATGTGATTAAAACAGATTAGACATCTCCATTTTTGAGCCATTAGACCGTTTTCGAAATGCTTTGAAATTAAAATTGTTTCTGTTCTGCTTGCCGAGTGAGGATGAGACGTTTTATTTTGATGTTTAATCTATTCATTTATCTTTTTTTCAATCGATAGTTAACAGACCATTTTCGTTATGTTGCATACATAAGTTGTTGCTAGGTAGGACAAACATTATGCAATTTGAATTCTGATTATTGGAATACAATTAATCGTAACATGTGAATGGAATCATTCGTGTCGAGGCTTTTCAAAAAGTTGTAAACATTATATTTGGTTACATTACGAAAATGGTTAGTTAGTGAACACGTGTTATGTAATCACGCACGTTTCTAGTATTGGGCTCATGGCGGCCCCTGGATGTGAAGCTATATGCTATTTACGGACCCAATACTATAGACCATTCAACAAAATGTATTCAATCTTTACGTAAGCTGTAATTATCCCGTACATATCCACACATCATAAAGTTGTATGAAGTCATTCAAGCGCTGTGTGCGCTGTGTGCGAGTATAGCGGTACCCCCCACACAACTTTGAAATATATGAGTACATGGTGATCCTTTCGAAAGACGATACGTCTTTACTGTATTTCTATTATGCATTCTCATCCGAACCCTGGCCCTGATAACCAACCATCTAATTCAACTACTATACATGATGGCCTCTCTATGGAAGGATTCCCCTCTGTGTTGCTATGCCGGGATATAACATGCACCGAGCAAGCTTTTCAGTCGTCAAGAGAACCATGTATTAAAAAGTTATGAATACAATTAGTAAAAAGGTTTTCGTACACCTGCTATGGATTATTGTACTTCAATAGTCAAAATGCATGTTATTGGTTTGATATGTCAGGACTCGCATGGAAAGCTTTATCCTGTCATTAATGTCGTTTGAACCCAGACTTGTCTTGATTCGGAATGAGGACATAATAATTGTCCTCGGAAATTTTCCTTTGATTTCTTGAGAACAATTTTACTGCTTTTATGTTTATAACGTAGGCCCCTATTTATTGAGAAAAAATGTGAATATCTATTGAAGGCATAACTGAAATGACTTGTGGAGAGTAAAATACACCAACGTCAAGGTCGACTGTAGTTCATCTAAAGAAGAAGAAGAAGAAGAAGAAGAAGAAGAAGAAAAGGAAAGAAGAAAGAAGAAGAAAAAGAAAGAAGAAAGAAGAAAGAAGAAAGAAGAAAGAAGAAAGAAGAAAAAAAAGAAAGAAAGAAGAAAGAAGAAAAAGAAAAAAGAAAAAAGAAAGAAGAAAGAAGAAAAAAAGAAAAAAGAAAAAAGAAAAAAGAAAAAAGAAAAAAGAAGGAAGAAGGAAGGAAGAAGAAATTATAAAACGTACCTCCTTGAGCATTAACACCAGACAGGATAACTAGAAAAATGGGTAAAGCTAACCCCCATCTGACCCAGTGCTCCGGGGGATACATCCCCTCACAGAATCCTCCTCACAGTAGCGGCCTTTAAAGAAGAATTGCACTCCGAATAAAACTTATATCATCCCTGTAAAACCATCCAAAGGGAAGCTAAAGGCATTGTCCTGGAGAGAAAGTTGATGAAATATCATATTTTGCTAAGAATCCATCTTCTGGGTGGGGTAATAAAATGCCAATGGTAGAAATGGTGGTAGCGCGTAAAGGTGTTGCACGGAACACTGCATGTCAAGAGCTTGGACTCCACCCTTTCGGTCCGTTTTGTGGGGAGGGGTGGCGATGAATGGGCGTAAACCGCTACAAATCTCCCGCGTGGTTCTAAACAAAGACAAGAGTGGGTGAGAAAAGAATCCCGTCAAATGAGTACAAGAGGGGTCTATTGTGTAATTACAGCTCCAACATCTTCGCTCTAAAGGCCCTATTCTTATCACTACATGCATCTGTCGTTTTGTTCTTTCCACGGTCCAGTAGCGTCTTAGTTTTCCCCGCATCGCGACCGGTCATACTTCATTCATGGAAGGATTTGGCTGAAGAAGGAGAAGAACGGGTGCATTGCTTCGGAGGAGGGCAGGTGAGGGCAACAATTGAATCTTGGACCAGGTTGCTGTTCATAGGCTTCTGAAAGTGCTTTTTACATCTTCCGATTGTTTCAATTTAAATGCGTCTGTACAACGCAAAACAAACCAGGGTCACTCAGGCATGGGTGATTAAAGTCATCAGCTTTAGTCAAGACTGGTGGCGGTTTTGAGGAGATCAGGAGGGGGTATTATCTAAACCTGTACCCCCGTTTATCCTGGCGATGATGATCCTTTTAGGGTAAGATAAAGGAGAGAGTCCAACTCCACTCTGAACGCTCTTCAGAAGCTTCGCGACCATAGTGTATATACACATTCAAGCATAACCCACGGGTTTTCTTTCCACATATTCAAGTACCTCAAACACTTAGGTACTCAAATCACTCCTACCAACATTGAGACTATTGAAAATCTTGCCATCACAAAGAATCTTTGTTTGAGGCTTGGAATAAGTCAAAATCCAGAATGAAGAAAAGCTATTCTGCTTCTTCACCACCTCTCTGCCGAGCGTCTAGTAAGTACCGGAATAAAACACATGTCGAGATGCTAATTGTATACTTACAACAATATGTATACATGGGACTGCCCGACGCTTCGCATCAAATATCGATACTGTTAGGTTACTCATCTTCATCTTGGGTAGATGTCAACATGGCCGTCTGTGATCATAATCTTGAGTAAAAATTACATTCGACTATCATCGATTACTATGAAAGTATGTCCTTCAAGTGAAACAGGACTATGCATTTCACATAAGTACAATTTCACCTCCGCTAAATCCATTGGTAGTTTTATCGTCTTGTTTCCTCATTTTATAAAGGAAAATAATTATGATATATCGGGAATGTAGAGATAGCTTACAGTTCATGAGCAAAACGTATTTTTTATGATTAGGGCCGTTAAAATTGGCTAAAAAATATATTCAGTCACACAATATACTTTCGCACTTAGCGATGTATTTTTTAAAAATCCATTCATGGTCAATTCACGTTCACTTGCAATCGAATATTTCTTGTTAAATTACTATATAATTATAATTGTATAAACTTCATAATTAATTACGAGCGTTAAAAAGACTAATGACCGTGAGCTGATGATAAGGTCATCTCAGTCATATCAAACGCACCTAGCACGCACCGCCTGTATCGAATCGGTGAATGGAAGCGTGCGGCATACATGTACATAAGATCAAAATGATTACATGCGTTCCCATGACTACCGCGTAGCTCCGGTCAATGGCACATCCCATTTTGTATTAGTCATCATTATCAGCGATCAATGTCGGCTGATTTAATCGTTTTCCATAATGGAAACTGGAAAAAAAGGAATTAATTAGTCCCTACATCGACGATTATATATATTAAATAGAAATTGTATTGTATATTTTTCCTGAGATCAGTGGATCATCTTAACGCTGTTAAAATGACTGTTTGAATATTAGCCACATTATCAACATTTGTACATTAACCGAATCATAGCAGACGACATGAAATTGGGCTACCGATAGTTTGCCGATATGATCGTGGGCGAGATAGATTTTCAACAGTAGCTGGCGCTAATGAGTTAGTCTCTTTCAGATTTATCAACCGCGACTGTAGTCAACTTATCGATTAGTTGGTTCGACGAGTAGACATGTTATTTCGATGGGGTGGAAAGAGGGCGGTAATGGGTTAAACGAGAAAGGCAGATTGAATATAATTTAAGAGTAGGGGGTGGAGTATATTTAAAAATGAATGGATAAACTAAAACAGATGTTGGCAGATAGAGATCAATGGCGTATCCATCAATTAAAAGGGCAAACCCGGCATTGACCTCTTGCGCCCCCCTCCAAAGTAGGGTGCAGAATTGCACTCTAGAGGGAGCATACGTGCACTAGTATAGGGATTAAGACATTTTCTACAAAATCAGCACCCCATAGCTACCTTGGGGTGCAAACTTGCCCCCTAGGGAGAGCAGATGTGCACCCTTAGTGTACACGTCGAGCCTCCGCTTGCGTCTTTTTTAACCTTTTTTTAAATGCGAAAAATTAAACAGCGCAGATTTGTTTCCTTCTTTCTTCTGCTTCCATTTAATCTTTTTTAATGCACCTTGAACTCGGCGTAAATATTCATAAATGAATGATACATGCCAAAGACTAAAACAACAGCAACAACAACATTGACTATATTTTGCTTTGCCGCAATTTATGAAGCAAAAATAGAAAAGAATGATCACTGGGTTTCAAACCCGGTAATCTAGGTTTATCGCACGCTTACCTTACCGATTGAGCCAACAATGGGTTGTTGATTTGTATAGCCCTAACCCTGACCCTTAGAGGGATTTATAGTTTGTATAGTAAGAGGCACTTTTTTTTAGTCCAATTTTTCAGGAAATATTTTGCGCCGACTCAGTCAGCCGGTGACTAAAAGCGGGTGGGGGGGGGGGGGGGGGGGGGGGGGTGAGACCACTATTTTTTTTTTTTGGACCTAATTCGTGGGATTTTTTTTTAAATTCTTTTGTTGTTGTTGACCGTCAGCCCCCCCCCCCCGTGGATCCACGCCTGCAGAGGATCCAGCCGGCGTCAAGGGGGGGGGGGGGGGTAGCCAAATCTTAATACAAAATTTAGTGCCGTCTCAGCCGGCCGGCGAATAAGCGGGGGGGGGGGGGCGCTTTTGTTTTATAAAGGTTAACTTTACGTTATTATCCTATTTTTTTTTTATCGTTTTAGGGGGCTGGGGGGCCGGGCCGGAAAAATCGCTACGTGGATCCGCCCCTGGTGTGAGCAGCACAAGCAAGACTTGACCGTGTTCTGCAACGAAGAGGGTTGCCAACGGCCGATGTGCCTGGCATATGTGCCGACGGCCCATCACGTGTCGTCGATCTGGACCAGAAATCTTCCGAGGATATAAGGAGGAGTTGTAAAGTCTCGCTCAGGCGGTGGGCGAGAAGACTCCTCCGGTGATGGAAATCTGAGAGAGAATCAAGTTCGAGATTTCCAAGACCCAGGATCGAAAGGCAAAAACTTCGTCCGAGATCTCGATGATATTTCGTGACATTCATGCAAAGCTTCAGAATAGGTACGATGAGGCATTGAGGCCGTTTCCGAGCTGCAGAATCAAACCGAAGAGCACAACTTCGCCACCAGGGAAACAACGCCTTTGATAACAAAAGTCTTTTGCGTCTCAAATCGAGACGGCACAGCCAGTTTGCCGAGCGATCCTGCGAAATAGAGAACGCTGGGGGAACTCCTTAGAACCAGAGAACAGGTTATCTCAAGGCGATGGCGGATCCAGGGGGGGCAAAAAAAAGGGTATTTTTTTTTTTTTTTTTTTTTTTTTTTTTTGTGCCTAAGAAAGAAAAAAAAATAGTGTTCCCCCCCCCCCCCCCCAAGCCACTGAACGAAATATCTGACGACGAAATTTTCAACTTTCCGGGGCAAAAAAAAACACCAAAAAAAAAACAGATTTGCTCATTAGAACCCCTTGAACTTCCGGGGGCTCTGCCCCTGGATTTCACCTAGGGCCCTAAGTCAGGCACCTGGATGATAATCTGACGGTAATTTATTGCCCAAAACCCCTGAGCTTCCCCATGGACCCCACGCCGATTCATGACCTGCCAGTGTCACAAATAAGGTATAAAAATATGTTCATCTGACCGTAATTAAATGCCTAAAACCCCTTAGTTTCCGGAGCTCCGCCCCCTCGACCCTACCAGGGGCCCTACGGCAGGCCCCTGCATGCTTGTTTGACCGTTATAAAATGCCTAAAACCCAGCTTCTGGGGGCTCCGCTCCCTAGACCCCACGCCATTAAGTCACCTGTCAGTGTCACAAATTAGGTATAATTATGCTCATCTGACCGTAATTTATTGCCCAAAACTCCTGAGCCTCTGCGGGCTCCACCCCTTGACCCCACGCCGATTCTTGACCTGCCAGTGTCACAAATAAGGTATAAAAATATGCTCATCTGACGATAATTTAATGTTTAAAACCCCTGAGCTCTGGGGGCTCCGCCCCCTGGACCCAGTGGCGGATTCAGGGGAGGGGGGGGGGGGGGGGGGGCTGGGGATAAAACTTGTAAAACACGTTAATTTTACCCTTTTTTCAGATGTCGTTTCATTGCATATTTTTGTTGTAATATACTTATTCACTGTATTTTGTTTTTGCATGAGAAATAAAATCATTTGAATCAAATGAATCAATCAGATGATTATTGTAAACTGCCGAATGTTAAATTCAAATTAAAATGTATTATGTACTATTAATATCTTGTTTATTAAAAAAAATAAACGTCTGGCAGCTTTGCGATTGTTTTGAATATTGGTACAAAGGTTAATCCTTAGAAATCCAGCCATACTCTTTACTTGGCCAAAACAGTGATAATGAGATAACGCTCACACGTGCAAATACTGACGAATATCATAAACGCTTTGAGTTCAAGTGGCTATTTCATAGATTAGATGGAAGAGGGGAGGGACTCAAACATGGAAGTGCTTTCAAAGGTTTAACATTATTTTCTTCATTTGGTTAAAATAATATTTTTAATGTACAAATGTAAAAAAATAATCTCACATCTATAGCACATAGTTTTTATACAAGAAAAAACAGCACACCCCAAACATGTACTATTAATATCTGGTTAATATCTGGTTTATTTATTTAAAAAAACACATCTGGCAGCTTTGCGATTGAATTTTAATATGGGTACAAAGGTTATTCCTTAGATTCCATGCAGCCATAGTCGTTACTTGGCCAAAAACCGTGATAATGTGAAGTGCTTTTAAAGATTAATATGAAGAAAAAAATATCCACGACACCAGATATTAGGCTATTACATTGGCACTGTGCAGTTTGCCGGTTGGGACCTTCCATATCAGAGGATTTACATGTTCGTTTTCCTGAGTAGTTGGGAGATTTCCATCAAACTAAGTCACGTAACTGTTAATTTCTTGGAGGTAAAGGTCAGAAGTTGTAGTAATTTGCATGATTCGAGGATAATCGCCTATGTTCAACACAACCTTGTGACTTGCCGTTCCAGTACTTCAATTAAAGGTAAGCTGAACGGTCTGATTCTCGCCACGTACATGTATGCACAAACGTTCATAATATTTCAAAGCGAAATCTAATTTTGACAGCATCTGAAAACATTTTACGAAAGAGCATTTAGGGCACGAACATAATATTCAAAACCTGTATTGTTTTATAATATGTTTAAAAGTGTTTTGTAAATTCAAACCAACCAGTTGAACATCGAAAGATCATGAAACGTTTAGTTGGTGTTTAACTAGTTCTGTGACGTCACACTATCGAATGAAGTGTAGATTATGGTTACGAATTTACAGAAAACTGTAGATTTGTAACACATCCACATATTACTGTAGATTCGTTAAGATATTTGTAGATTTACGATATTGTACTGCTAAAATGAGGTAAAATTGAAAAGCGATAATATTGCGAACCAGTACCACACTGCAATATTTGACATGCACTTGATTTAATAAGTAGCCTACTATGTTTACGTTCCCTTCTAATATTTTGGGTAATCAGGGTTTTTTCGCATAGTGTTTTCTTCGGATTTGTTTAGATTTGCCGCTTTGATTTTTTTAAATTTATTGTACAGTGGTGATCATACTTATAATTTTTACAATTTTTACAGTATTTCATATTTTTTAAATTGAATTTTTTATTTTTATTTGTATTTATTATCATTTTTATTCTAATCTTTGTTTTATTTATTGTCTATATTTCATCCCAATTTAAATTTTAACCTTTCGTTGTTTGTGTTTAAATTCGCAATATAAAAGAAAAAAATCAGTGGATATCCCTTTGTTGAAGATAATGTTCATATCTGGTCTTACCCAATTTAATGTACGTTTTATGATAATTCTTCTTTCGTTTTTGAATTTCTGGCCTTTGCACACACAAACACACACGTTAATAAAGTACAATCCTAAAGAGAATGGATGAACAACTGGAGAAATCAAATAACCTTTAGAAACCTACTCAATCAATACTTCTCAGAATATATTCCAAAGCAAGGTATTCTCCAAACGAAATTATTTCCTGAGGTGAAATAATGAGATAGTATTCCGATGAGTACTCCTTAAGCTCAAGGGAGAAAATGTGGTTCTCCCTGGTATCAAAGAGCTCTATGCACAAATGAGTTGCTTGCTTGCCTACTTCTTTTCATGGTTGTTGGTGTCAGGCGCGTACACAGGGGGGGGGGGGGGTTGGGGTTAAACCCCCCATTTTTGGTATTTTTTGTGTAAACCCCCCCTAAACCAGCCTACCCCCCCCCCCCTTGGATTATTATTTTTTTAATTATTATTAAAAAAAAAAATAAAAAAAAAAATATTCCCATGGCTGACCTTACCCCCCCCCCCCCCCCCCTGACGGAACAAAATGTCAAATTTTCAAATTTCGATACCAAAAAAAAGAAAAGAAAAGTGACCTCTTACCCCCCCCCCCCCCCGCTTATTCAGCGGCTGGCTGAGTCGTTTATAAATGTTAACCCCCCCCCCCCCCCCCCCCCCCTTGAAAAAATCCTGCGTACGCGCCTGGTTGGTGTTAAAACTCCTCAGATCACTCCCGTAAGATAGCATCAATAGCGTTTAATACATTCAGTATAATTAAGCAAGTTTCCCACTTAGTCGATTTGGACGAGTTATTTTTGTATGTATGTATAACGAGTTATCAATATGCATAATTTTGGCGCTCTCCAAAATAAAGATGGATGCCACAAGCATATTTGCTCTGCTGGAGGAAGAACAGGCCTTGATCCCTTACAAAAAAAACGAATGGTAAATGAATGGTGTTTGAATGGTGTTTCAATGGTGGACTTGTATGGTGAATGGTGTTTCAATGGTGGCGTCTGTATGGTGAATGGTGTTTCAATGGTAGAGTCTGTATGGTGAATGGTGTTTCAATGGTAGAGTCTGTATGGTGAATGGTGTTTCAATGGTGGACTTGTATGGTGAATGGTGTTTCAATGGTGGCGTCTGTATGGTGAATGGTGTTTCAATGGTAGAGTCTGTATGGTGAATGGTGTTTCAATGGTAGAGTCTGTATGGTGAATGGTGTTTCAATGGTGGAATTCTATGGTCAATGGTGTTTCAATGGTGGCGTCTGTATGGTGAATGGTGTTTCAAAGGTAAAGTCTGTATGGTGAATGGTGTTTCAATGGTCGAGTCTGTATGGTGAATGGTGTTTCAATGGTAGAGTCTGTATGGTGAATGATGTTTTAATGGTGGAATTGTATGGTCAATGATGTCTCAATGGTGGCGTCTGTATGGTGAATGGTGTTTCAACGGTGGAATTGTATGGTCAATCGTGTGCCAATGGTGGATTCTGTATGGTGAATGGTGTCTCAATGGTGGTGTATGATGGTGAATGGTGTTTAATGGTAGAGTCTGTATGGTGGATGGTGTTTCAATGGTGGAATTGTATGGTAAATGGTGTTTCAATGGTGGCGTCTGTATGGTGAATGGTGTTTGAATGGTAGAGTCTGTATGGTGAATGGTGTTTCAATGGTAGAGTCTGTATGGTCAATGGTGTTTCAATGGTGGAATTGTATGGTTAAATGGTGTTTCAATGGTGGAATTGTATGGTCAATGGTGTGCAAATGGTGGATTCTGTATTTGTGAATGGTGTTTCAATGGTAATGTCTGTATGGTGAATGGTGTTTCAATGGTAGAGTCTGTATGGTGAATGGTGTTTCAATGGTGGAATTGTATGGTCAATGGTGTGCCAATGGTGGAATTATATGGTCAATGGTGTTTCAATGGTAGAGTCTGTATGGTGAATGGTGTTTCAATGGTGGAATTGTATGGTCAATGGTGTTTCAATGGTAGTGACTTTGAAAAAACTAGGTGTCCCTTATACTTTGAACTACAATTTGCTCTGTGATTTCGCTTTATTTTTCGCGAATTTTTCTTCATGATCAAGTACGTTTCAAAGCTGACAAACTGCAAGGAATAATACTCTAGTCCTCAGGAACAATGATGGATCTTTAGTATTTTCTTCAATTTGGAGTAATTTTGGATCTGATATGTGTCTCTTTACCGTGAGTAACTGCTGTTTTGAGCCTGTGGTCCCACTCATATGACTCTGTGATGTACATTATTATACATTTGCTTATATGAATATCTGTTATGGTTAATTAAAGCAGCTTATAAATCATTCTATTTTATTACAAAAAATTGAAATATTACAGTATTAGGGGCACAACTTTATCAATGAAGCTGCCCTTACAAAAAAAATGTTCAATGGTATACTAATGGTATGCCCTTCGGAAGTACCACTGAAAATACCATACGGATACCATTCACAAACAACATTTAAATACCATTCGGATACCATTGAGATTACGCTCGCAACGTACCATTGGGCACCATTCATCTACCAATAAAATACCATTCAACCTAATAATAATTTTTTGGACGCTCATTTGCATAATCACCAGTGGTAGATTTACACCATTATTTACTATTTACACCATTGAAATTTAAATATGAAATATGCAAATTTTGTAACATTAACCTACCATTCACCATTGGCATGGTAGGCCAATGGTGGATGGTGAATGGTAGGGCAATGGTGAATGGTAGATTGGCCTACCATTCACCATCCACCATTGGCCTACCATTCACCATCCACCATTGGCCTACCATTCACCATCCACCATTGGCCTACCATTCACCATCCACCATTGGCCTACCATTCACCATCCACCGTTGGCCTACCATTCACCATCCACCATTGGCTTACCATGCCAATGGTGAATGGTAGGTTAATGTTACAAAATTTGCATATTTCACAACAAACACACACATACCCAAACACATGTACATAAATTTATACATGCATACATACATGCACACACATGCCAAATTTGACAACCATAAAGTAAAAGAATTGGACATATATTTCGAAATACTGAGAGCTGCAAACTGTAGTGGTTTATTATAATGAACTCCGAAATAAGACGACACACTTTCAAGTAGTAACACAAAGATAGGGTATTTCGTCAGGAAGATGTGAACTCTTTATTTTGAGTCTCATCACTTAGAAAATGATGTATAATGGTAAGGGCGTCGCTAGACCTTTTTTAGTGGGGGGGGGGGGGTTGTAGAGGCAAACGATTACCGACAAAACTAGCCCCCAATTACCGACAAAATTAAATGTCCCAATATTTACAAATTTAACCCTATATATATCCGGGGCCGAAGGCTAAATTGTTTTTCCTACGGACTATCTATAGTACTTGCATATGCGCAAATGGTCCTTTTCCTCGACGACATAAATATACGAATTATTTCGTCATCTTAGTCAGCATCATAGCTATATATTTTAATGCAGGTGCGACGCTAGGATCTCATTTTAGGGAGGGACGGTAGTGAGCAGGCGAATCACTCAAAGAGTGCGCGAAGCGCGCTCATTAGGGGGTGTGGGTGATAGGCCTACCGCGCGAAGCGCGGAAGCTTAGACGTTTCCTTAAATTATTAGGAAAAGAAGACGATTTATTGTACTGTTCTCGACTGTTAAAGAGAAGGTTGAGTTCTGGGAAGAGGTGAAAAATAATTTGTGAGCATTACTCATTCTTAGTATGCAAGTGTGGAAAAACATCATAGTTAAGACATGTTCTCTGAAAAGCTTGGCTCTTCAAATGCCTTCATATTCTAAATATGCATGTAACATCGTAAAAATCGGGGGCCGGCTTTTTACGCAACGTGTTCGTGTAGTCCCATATACATTTTTCTGTGCAAGTGTTTGTAACTTTACCAAGACTTGGCCACATTTCTTATCATTTTGATGATTCTAGAACCTTGCAATACACACAAATTCTTATATGCTAGATGATCAACCTTTTCTGGTCGGTTCCACACCGTTTCTTTCACAATGCAATCGCATGACCAGAACTCAACTTCATCTTTAACCCTTGTCTGTATGAATTCCCCCGCCCCTCCCGCGCAAGGCGCGAAAGCTTTGGCGTTTCATTAAATTATTATAAAAGAAGACGATTTGCTGTACCGTTCTCGACTGTAAATCCTTGT